TTTTTGCAGGCAGCTTGTTAAAGGGGCTCGCTTGAAAATATCAAAACTATTTTATTAATCTTTGAGGCTAGATGATCATTAAGTCACATTTGAAAAAATATTTAAACTGAGCTGAAAGGTTTAAAAAAAGATATGGTGACTGGCTTCGTGTGTCTTTGAGGAAGTGCATGCCTCTGTGTGACAGGGAGAGACCTAGCTAGCAGATGGAATTGGCAATGACTAAACTGGTGAGAAAATTGGGATCCAAATATGAACTGTGTTAGCAAACAGCTGTTTGTTAACAAAGCAAAAACTGGGAAAGTATGTGAAATACTAATAAAAACAGAAAGCAGTAAAATTCTGTATTTAATTGGAAATGATATATGATGTTTTACCTTATGAACTTATTTGTTTGTTGTAAATATTGTCTAATTCCAAGGTTGATGCCTGTGACACATTCCAAAACGGGAACCCGTTCACCACCGTGTTACATCCCCTTTCCTTTCAGCAGAGCTTAATAAACACATTGAGACTGAAAACACAAACGGATCCAGTTTTAAAAGTGGATTTTTGGCCATTCTTCTGTTATGCAAGTCTTCATCTGTGCAAATGTACAGAGCCTTTCCTCCCGCACTCTGATTACACAGCCATGCTGTTGTAACGCGTGATGAATGTATCTATCTATCTATCTATCTATCTATCTATCTATCTATCCATCCAGCTGTCTATCTATCTATCTATCTATCTATCTATCTATCTATCTATCCAACCACCCATCCATCCATCCATCCATCTACCTATCCATCCATCCAACCACCCATCCATCCATCCATCCATCCATCTATCTATCCATCCATCCATCCACCCATACATCCATCTATCTATCTACCTATCCATCCATCCAACCACCCACCCACCCATCCATCCATCCATCCATCCATCTATCTATCTATCCAACCACCCATCCATCCATCCATCTATCTATCTATCTATCTATCTATCTATCTATCTATCTATCTATCTATCTATCCAACCACCCATCCATCCATCCATCCATCCATCTATCTATCTATCCAACCACCCATCCATCCATCCATCCATCTACCTATCCATCCATCCATCCAACCACCCATCCATCCATCTATCTATCTATCCATCCATCTGTCTATCCCTCCATCCAACCACCCATACATCCATCTATCTACCTATCCATCCATCCAACCACCCATCCACCCATCCATCCATCCATCCATCTACCTATCCATCCATCTATCTACCTATCCATCCATCCACCCACCCACCCATCCACCCATCCATCCATCCATCCATCCATCCATCTATCTATCTATCTATCCAACCACCCACCCATCCATCCATCTATCCATCCATCCATCCATGCTCTGTTTATAACCAAGCATTACCTGATCAAGATGTTTTTGAACATTTCAGTGTTTACAGCTTTATATTGCCTCTATCCCAACTTGGAACATGGTGCAATTTCAGAATGAGCGTTTATGTACAAAAACCATTGAAGTTTTTTAGTTCACTGCTTTCTGTTTTTGTTTTTTATTGTTTTTTTTTGCTTTTTGCCCACTGTCTCAACGTTTTTTGGGTCTGTAACTGAAAAACAACAGCAAGAAAATACAAATTTAAAAGAAGTCAAAGTGCCCCCAAAAGGTTCTTCTAAGGTTTTGCCACAGCCAAAGAGCGTAGGCTGTTTGATATGTATATGACTCATATCTCTTTGTGATTAGTGGTCATGATGCATCATCAATGCATTTTTACACCCCTATTGACAGATCACAGTGCAATAAAATCCTGTAGCGTCATGACCATTACCCAGCAAGCTCTCATTACAGTAAGCTGCCCTTTCTTTACTCTGAAAATATTATTTAAGGGACAAGCTCTAATGACGATAGTGGTGCTCGGTACCTTATTGGCAGTCACTCTGGCACAAACAGTGAGAACCTTTTCAAGCCAACATCACATGCCTCCGGTCCAAAGTCTCCTGTTCTCTCAGACAAAACAGAACTGTAGGGAGAAATGTGGTTTTAGGGATCTGTGTAGCAGGAATTTTGAGGTCAAAGTTCTAAACACGGATGCAAAACAGACACGGTTCATTTAGACCATAATGGTCTCATAAATCTGGAGGGTGATGTAACAGATAATCTTTACTGCTCTCTCCTCTGTTTACCTCTCTAAATCAAACGTCACTGACTAATTTAAATCCCATCCTTTACAGCTTTTGCCCATATGTCTGTTCATGTTAATCAAACTCTGTGAACAAAGACCCAATTCTAGGACTGTCCCTCCTTCACGTGTGGCGTACATATGCTTAGTCTCTATGAGAAACACGATACCCAGCAATAGGGAGACTGTGACCTACATACAGCAATTTAAACATAAAACTTGGTATGATTGCAGTTAGAGATACCATACTGTCATGATAATGATATTAAAACACAAAACACACCCAATATTATTAACAGGAACAGTCATACGTTTTCTGATACATTGTTCACAACCTTTAAACTATTCAGAAATTTTGAGAATCAGAGGAAGTACTCTTTTAAGGGTGCACATCCTATTTGTTCTTATTTATCTTTTCTTTGAGGTCCACCTGTCACGTGCGTTTTATTTTTTATATCAAAAATGGCTTTTATTTTTACAATAATTCATTTTACATAATTATGTTTCAGCTTCTTTTTAACACGTAGAATTAAACTGGCTGTTTTTGTCACTGTGCCTTTAAGACTGATGTGAGGTAGCTTCTTTGTTCTGATTGGCTGCCCTGTATTGTACCTCATTCAGAAAGCTCTCTGAAACACTCTTTAAAACTTCAGTATGAGTGGGTGGGACTAAACTGCTGTAGGCTGAATCTGTGGATGAATGTAAACATATGGACTGGGGAATGAACAGTATGTTTTAAACTTGAACAATGTTTAAATATATATGTGTGTGTGTGTGTATAAATGGGTCATTCTACAGAAACGTCCACTTACATCCACTTTCCTATCTCTCCATAGGAGTCACTGGTGTTACTGATCCTCATTGGTGTTTCACATAACAAAGGGAACACCAGAGACATTTTTAATGAACAATGCATTTTACAAAATAACTGCTACAGAGCATCAAACCACATGTTGTCAATCATGGAATATCCACTAAAATATGGAATTTAATCCATTTGTGTTCTATTTTTTCACAATTACCTCAGAATAAAGTCGGTCACACCAGTGACTTCAGCTAAAAGCTTCATATGAAATCATGAGCTAAATGAGAAAATCTATGATAACTGAAAGACACAGTGGACTCACCATGAGCTTTTCTTCATAGATCCTCAGAAAACAGGTAAAAAGAAGTCGTGATGTCATCAGTGTGACTTTTTATTTCAAAATAAGAGATTTTTTGTTACGCAGTAACACCAGTGACACGACTCCTGGGGAACTTCCATTCTATATTTTATAATATTTGTTTTCTTTATGTCATTTAAATTATATATTTCATAGTCATGTGTAGATTATTGCAGTTACCCTTTACACACGACTGTGGGGACGAGCTCTTCTGAGGTGCTTGGAATTCTAGATAATTGGTTTAAAAACCAAGATTGCTAAATTGAGGTTCATGAAGATGTAATTGTTAAAATAACTTATTGTTTTATTTTAAAATATAAATAAATTGTAACTAACATGTTTTAACAGTAACATATAAAATTGACATTTCAATAGAATGACTCATATAACACACACACACACACACACACACACACACACACACACATATATATATATATATATATATATATATATAAAACCTCATATCTCCATTTTTGACGTTTTTTCGTTTTGTACACAGTTTGAAAATACCTGTTGCCCTTTACATTGTATGTAAATTTAATGATGAATGGACTAAAAGAAATGACCCAAAATTACTGGGAAAAAAAATTCTTCCGATATATATACATACACCGATCAGGCATAACATTATGACCACCTCCTTGTTTCTACGCTCATTGTCCATTTTATCAGCTCCACTTACTATATAGGTGCACTTTGTAGTTCTACAGTTACAGACTGTAGTCCATCTGTTTCTCTGATACTTTGTTAGCCCCCTTTTACCCTGTTCTTCAGTGGTCAGGACCCCCATGGACCCTCACAGAGCAGGTACTATTTGGGTGGTGGATCATTCTCAGCACTGCAGTAACACTGACGTGCTGGTGGTGTGTTAGTGTGTGTTGCGCTGGTCTGAGTGGATCAGACATAGCAGTGCTGCTGGAGTTTTTAAACACCTCAGTGTCACTGCTGGACTGAGAATAGTCCACCAACCAAAAATATCCGGCTAACAGCGTCCTGTGGGCAGCATCCTGTGACCACTGATGAAGGACTAGAGGATGACCAACACAAACTGTGCAGCAGCAGATGAGCTATCGTCTCTGACTTTACATCTACAAGGTGGACTGACAAGGTAGGAGTGTCTAATAGAGTGGACAGTGAGTGGACACAGTGTTTAAAAACTCCAGCAGCACTGCTGTGTCTGATCCACTCGTACCAGCGCAACACACACTAACACACCACCACCACGTAAGTGTTACTGCAGTGCTGAGAATGACCCACCACCCAAATAGTACCTGCTCTGTGAGGGTCTGTGGGGGTCCTGACCACTGAAGAACAGGGTAAAAGTGCAGCTATATAGTAAGTGATGCTGATAAAATGGACAGCGAACATAGAAACGAGGAGGTGGTCATAATGTTATGCCTGATCGGTGTATATATGTATATATATATAACTTAATTCCTCTTTTATCTACATAAGCGAAGGTATTGGGTTTCCCCTGATACGGACCTTTTAACAGCATGAACCACTATCCAATCCTGGCGCAGGGGGCGGGGTTTGTAAGGACCTGGACGCGCACACCTGTGGCCAATCCTGGTGTCCTCATCGCGCTCAGCGGGTAATTCAATTGGCTCGTTCACGGCGCGAGGAAAGCGATAAACGCGCCGCGGAGCAGAGCCTCCTCAACCGCTCAGCATGGAGGAGTTAGGCCTGCCTTTCCCCGCGTACAGTTACGGCGGCTACCCCGGTTTCATCCCCTTCTACCATGGAAACGCCAAGTTCAAGTACCAGAGCTGGAGCAAGAAGGGCGGCTTCCCGCTGCCCGAGGTTTCCGACTACTTCGACATTTACAAGCGCACCCAGCTGAAGGCCATCCTGTCCCAGGTGAACCCCAACCTGACCCCTCGGCTGCGCAAGGCCAACACGAGGGAGTTCGGGGTGCAGGTGAACCCTAAGGTGGACGCCACCGTTCAGTGCTCGCTCGGCCCCAAGACGCTCTTCTACCGGGAGGAGCAGTTCAGCTCTCCCCGCCGCGGCGGCGCTCTTCCTCAGGACGCGCTGCCCAGCACTCCCGCCAACAGCGTGCGCTTCTCCCGCCCTCTCGCCATCTACTCGCCGGTGTTCGACCGCAGGTTTTTATCGGTACCGGCTCGCGCCGGCGCAGGGCTCAACAGTCCTGATGACCGGAAAGCTGGTTCAGAGGATGAGGAGGAGGAGGAGGAGGACGAAGAGGTCGAGACCGAGCCGGACAGTCCAGAAGGAAAGCAGCGTGCGCTGAGACACGCCCCCCAGATCCGCGGAGCCAAGAGACTCGGCTTTCAGGTCGGTGGGAGTGTGGATGGTGGGCGGAGCTACACGTTCACTTAGGCCTACTGTTCACCTGTGCAGATGCAGGGATTACAGATTAAGTATTCTCAGTTCAGTCTTGAAGGGGAACTCCACCAGATTTTCTCAGAATACTGAATAAGTGTCGTTATAATGTAAACAGATTCAAAGTGGTTTGATGTGAGATGGTTAATTGTAGAGAAACAGGCTTACAGTTCTTCAGTGGTGGTGATGGGAACCAGGGATCCTGATGCCTACAACACAAATATAGCTGTTTTTGTTTACTTTCCTAAACACCAGTGAACCTCCAGGTGTCCTTTTTATATGTAATATTGATGCTACAATAGTGGTGAATCTGGAAAGAGGCATTTTCTTTTGGGACTAATCGCCATGCATGTACCCCTCTGCCATGCATGGCTTTTAAGGTCTTAATGTTTTAAATCAAATCCTACAAAAGTTTAGTAAAACAACGTCTATGACATCCGGCTGCACATTTATAAACAGTGTAATAACGTTCTGTGAGGGAGCTTTTAGAGCAGGAGTGCACAGCTCCAGTCCTGGTGTGCACAGTTTGGTTTCCTCATTCAAACAAATCCACTGAGCCTGGCAATTTTCAGACGTCTAATCAGGTGTGTTTGAGCAGGAAAGTCCCCGAACTGTGCTGGACACCGGCCCTCCAGGACTGCAGTTGTGCACCCCTGTTTTAGAGGCATTAAACTCTTCAGACGTCTGGTTCCTATCACCACCACTGTCAACAACTTTGACTCGTAGAACAGGGCATTTGGAGTTAATTCACTATGAATGATTTACATCTCTCATCTAATTAATCACAACTTTTGAAATCTGGATTTTCTTTTTACATTGTGCAGTTATCAAGTACTGCTGTGGCAGACAGTTAAAACTGACAATCCAAAATTATTTGATGGTGGGTTGAAACTGGTGGTCTTTGGCCGTAATGTGAAGTGCTCCACTGTGACAGATTTGCTGCCCCAAAGACAGGTGATGTTAAAGTTCAGGCAGTGTCAGAAATTTGTCATCTTGTGGTGTCTGTGGCTCATCTAGAAAGCAACCACTGCGTGACTGACAGGAGGAGGATGATCAAGATAAATGAAGGTTTAAAAAAGTAATGGGTCATTCTACAGAAACATCCCCTTTATCTGTCTCTCCATAGGAGTCACTGGTGTTACTGAATATCATTGGTGTTACACATAATAAAGGTAACACCAGATTCATTTTTAATGAACAATGCATTTTACAAAACAGAGCATCAAACTACATGCTGTCAATCATGGGAAATCCACTAAAATATGGAATTTAATCCATTTGTATTCTATTTTTTCACAATTACCTCAGAATAAAGTTGGTCACACCAGTGACTTCAGCTAAAAGCTTCATATGAAATCATGAGCTAAATGAGAATCTCTGATAACTGAAAGACACAGTGGACTCACCATGAGCTTTTCTTCATAGATCCTCAGAAAACAGGTAAAAGGAAGTCGAGTGATGTCATCACGTTTTTTTTTTTTTAATTTCAACATAGATTTGTCATGACTCCTGAGGACAGCAACTTTCATTTTATAAGATTTATTTGGCATTTTTTCTTTATCATTTATCATATATTTCACTTATGTTTAAATTATTGTAGTTAAAATTGCAGAAAAATGTTTCATCAAAATATGGCCTTTACACATGACTGAGGACCAGCACTTCTGTGGTGCTTGGAGTTCTATATTTGATTTAAACAATATTGCTAAATTCATGGCTGAAGGTATAATTGTTAAAATAACATTGCTTTATTTATTAAATATAAAAACATGTTTAGAGATTTTACACTAAACACTAGGGACACAAAAATGGATGTTTCTGTAGAATGACCCTAATACTCCAGTTTAAGAATATTACCTCATGGTTATTAGCCTGGCTCAGCCTTCAGTTCACAGTCTGACCTGCAATGAAATGGCCGAGCTAGATGCCGCATAGCGGGCAGAAAAATTAGCCTGCTAACCAAGTTCACTGTGGAGAATCACCGTTTCAATTAGGCCTTTTCTCCTCAGCCAAGAACAGCTCCAGTCTCCTTTTAGCCCTTCAACATGTTCTGTCCTTACTGCTATGCAGAGGATAATTCAAAAATGTGAAATGACCTTAAAACGGTCAAATATAGCCTTTCAGCTGTAATTACAGCTTTACCAGAAGGAGGCAGCAAAAACTACTGCACCTGGTCAGGGCAAAGCCAGGAGTACATGTAGCCTCACCTTGACCTCCAATAGGCATGATGGGTGTGGCAGCATTCAAAGGCCCTGCCCACCCACACAATAACCCCACCCCAGTTCCACACAATGGATTCGCTTTCGTCCTCTTTGTTTTTCTTTGTCTAGTTTCTGGAGCAGAAATATGGATTTTACCACTGCAATAAGTGCAACATTCGCTGGGAAAGCGCCTACGTGTGGTGCATCACAGGAAGTTGCAAGGTAACATACCTGGTACCAAGTAACTACTTATTACTCCTTGCCTAACATTCACTCTAACTGTAAACTGTCACCACACTTTATCAGGTTTACTTCAAGCAGCACTGTAGAAAGTGCCAGGCTGGACTGAACCCATACAGAGTGGAGTCTATTCAGTGCCAGGTTTGACACGACTGGAACCTTTTATTTATTTAAACACACTTGTGCTTTGCTGCTATTAAACCCTGTGTGTTTTTATTTGCTAGAAGTGTGCACAGACGCGCTGTAGCTGTGAGCAGAAGCAAAGGCATATTGACCTGAGACGGCCTCATCGCCAGGACCTGTGTGGCCGCTGCAGGGGAAAGAGACTGTCCTGTGACACCACCTACAGCTTCAAGTACATAGTCTGACCGCCCCATCTGACCCATGTCTTTTTATCATCGCCATCGATGGCAATGAGTTGAATGTTTTTGTATAACTGATAATATATATTTGTATTAAACTCTAAATAAAAGGTACTGCAGCATTATTCTGTCTCTGACCTCATAAGTGACTTGGTTTCCACCCTGTAAGCTGGCTAAACTGCACGATGAACTGAATTGTCCTGAATGGTGAACAGCATCATAAACCTATGTGACCTATGGGCATAATTTTGGCAACAAATATAAAGAGTAGCAGTCATTGTTCTGTAAAGACTGTCAACAATAGACAGGTTTTAGCCATCACTACTATATAGCTGGATGTTTCTCAGATAGTGCTACTGGGGAATAGGCCTACATTATATATTAAGACACAAGGCCAAATAAAGTAAAATAAAACAATTTTGCCTGGTACAAGCCATAACTTGGGGCTTTAAGGGGGAACCATTGATTTTGCTAAGTTAATCATTTAATGGATTAGATGTAAACAAGCATTGAGTAGTTTGGTGTGAAATGTGCCTTTCCAGAGGAATTTAGAGTCAAAATTTTTCACCATTGATAGTACTAGGAACTAGATGTTATGTCTGCACTGCAAACATCACCATTTTATATCATCCAAAATTACCAGTGAACTTACATGTGTCTTGTAAGTTTTTATTTGTCACGCTGATAATGGTAAAATAGCGCTAAATTGAAAATGTTTTCTTTGGGTACTATTTTTTTCCACGCCTTCAGGTGTGATCTGATTGCAGAGCCACGGATTTACTACAGCAGAAACTGGAATCTAGGTTAGAAACGTTCGTGAGTGAAATAAATTAGACGTCGTTAGCCGTTAGCTTAGAACAGACTGTCTAATGTGGGCCACACAACAAAAAACCCAAAAAACTCTACCTACCTCATAAACTGGTAAGCAGAGTAGCGAGTAGTTTGTTGTTGAGACCATAGATATACATGCATAGATGCCGCGCTGGGTCCAGCCAGGCACGTCAGCGGCGCTGCCATTTCAGGGCGGTCAACATTGCTGCTGGACTGCATTCAGTACCATTACAGAGCGGCAGTTTAATAAAGATACTGTCCAAAATTACACTATTTCAAGAATATTACACTCAGAAAGTGGGATAGGATTATATAACGGAGGGAACGCAGTGATCCACACTCATGTCTGTGTGATGTGTATTGTCTGTGTGGTGTTTATGTAGATGTGGCCGTGTGGTTAATGAGGCACAGAGAACCTGTTGATGTGATTGTTTTTCCTCTGGTTTTATATTAAGCTTATTTCATTGAATAGTCCTTACACTCCTCAATCCGTGTAGATGTCCATAATAGATTATCACCTTATTACATAAACCTTAAGTTAGGTTGTTATTTGCCAGCTTTTTGTTCGAAAAAGTGCCTGCTGCACCATTTAAGGTGGAACGGGAAAACGAAGCTGGCGGCTTCAGCTTCGTCCTTCTGTGTATTAAGATTAGAAGTGATTGACACATTGATGGCTTTGCTGATGTGTCTGATTGTGTTTCTCACGATAAACTCGGTTTTTTAACGTCAGGTGCAGACTGAATACTTTCCTGCTGGTCTGGACGGCTAATTATCACTATCAATTATTAAAGTAATAAAAGGTACCGAGAGCAGATCCGTGCAGCCTGGATTAATCTGTGTCTGAGGATTATAACTAAACAGATTTGGTGAAAATCGGATGAGTAATAAGGAAGTTGTGGCTGATTTAATCCTGAGACTCATCGTTTCTCAATACAAGTGAACCTGTTCACAAGCGGATCTTGACCGCTCCAACATGGCGGATGCGCAGACGTATCGCCTCAGATGGAAAACAGCAGACGACCCAGCATCTCGGTATGGGTATCTATGGTTGAGACCAGCACTTTCCATTCGCCCTGGGCTGCTCTGCGGCGGCGCCGGCGGGTTCTGTCTCTTTCTCTCTGGGTTCTGGTTCAAACTGTTATGGTTCTACGACCTCCTCGAAGTCCTTCTCATACTCTGCCATCTTCCAAAACAGGTAAGAAAACCGTAAAAATTACCTGTAAACAGAAGCTGCTGCCGGCGTTAACTGTGTTGAGCGGCTGTAGCTACAGGCTAATAACAACAGAAGCACGTTAACTTAGCTCGCGCATTGATCTAAATTGAGATGCGGTTTTGAGAGGAAACACTGAACTAATCCTGGAGTAAAACTTTATACAAAAATTCGTTTTAGGCCGAAACTTTATAACAAAACTCGCACAAAACAGCGTCTCCGGTATCAGGCCGTGCATTCATAACCATTTTGTGTAATAACGGGGTGTAGCTGTTGGAGACATCACGCCAGTTGCATTGAGCGCATGCGCCGACACTTGCTTTGGTTTGTCTTGGCGAGTTTTAGGGTAACGTAGGAGTGGATTGATCTGGAGCATTTGATCAAAATCATCGTTTATAAATGCTTAAACATTTTTAATGTAAAAGAATGCAGTCATATCCTGAACACAGAGCAGCATAAAACATTTTAACACTGCTGTTATATTTTTAAGAGCTTTTAAACTCGAGCTATAGGAGTTTAAAACGCGCCTCATGTACGTTCATGACGTCAGTAAGCGCGAACAGCCAATGAGCGGCTCCGCTGAAACTGTGGGTATAAATCAGTCAGACCCTTCTCGAAAGGCGCATTTCGCACCGAACCACTCAAGGATTTTGTTCACATCTAAACCACTGAATGATTAAGTAATTTTGCAAAATCCCCCCAAAACACAGTAAGAAGGACGAAACTAAAGTGTTTTGGGGGGGTTACTTTATTTTCATGTGTATTAAGATTAGAAGTGATTCACACATTGATGGATTTGCTGATGTGTGTGAGATTGTTATGCTACCGAGAGCAGATCCGTGCAGCCTGGATTAATCTGTGTTTGAGGATTATAACAAAACAGATGTGGTGAAAATCGGTTGAGTAATAAGGAAGTTGTGGCTGATTTAACCCTGAGACTCTTCGTCTCTTAGTACAAGTGAATTTGTTCACAAGCGGAACTTGACCTCTCCAACATGGCGGACGCGCAGACGTATCGCCTCAGATAGAGAACAGACAACGCGGCATCTAGGTATGGATATCTGTGGTTAGAACGCACACTATGTTGCAGTGCATGCTGGCGACTGTAGTGTATCTCAGGCTGAAATGGGCTGCCAAGAATAGAAAATTAAAATAATTTGGAGGGCTGAATAGGACTGTGTCACGGGCCTGACTTGGCCTGTGGGTCTTGCGTCCGACACGTGGGTTTTAAAGCATGTTTAATACTGCCTTACTCCAGAACCAGGATGGGAAAAAAAACTACTATTACAGAAATGTTATTAAAACGTCTCCCTTTCTTTGCTGATTTCGACAGAATGATTCCTCTCCAGTTCCCATTAACCTCTTCAACTCCTTGAGACCACCGGTGGTTCCAAAACACACTGCATTCTGCATTCTAAAGGTGGGGGTCGTATGAGAGCTGTAACTGTCTTCTTTCCAGTCAAATAGATGGGTGATGTAATTTTAAACCCTTATAATAAAAGAAGCTGAACTCATTTTTTGTCTACTGAAAGTCGACCCATTTTTCCACAAATCTGGGCTATAAACTATAAACAGATGGCGTCTCTTCAGTGATCTGCTCTGTACAAATTATTTTTATAAAAAAATACAAAGAGCGTCTAAGATTTTTAGCTTTCAGCAGTAAATTTTAAGCATATAGCAATATGTGTGATCATAAAACACGTTCTGTTAATTTCAGGGAAGCTTTTACAAAAAAATATACATTTATTTCATGCAGTTACTGAATAATTTGCCTTACGATTTAGTCATGTAAATTCAGATGGACAAAGCAAAATATACCCTGGAGAATAAGATGTTAAAATGAGCTGACTGCACGTAACACTTGCTGAATACTCATAAGCCTAGCTAACCTTGACTTGACCTAAGCATGTACTTCATTAAAGTGTTATGATTCAGGTACATGTAATGACAGATTCGCCCGATAAGTCTTTATTCTGACATGACACTTGACGGAGCACCAAACAAAATCACTTCACAAAAGCCGTAAAAGTATTTACAAAGTGAAAAACTCTACACTAAGACTTTTCCCTAAGGAAAACTGTGCAATCTCTCCTGGCATGCACACGTTTCTGAAGACAAAACGACTGACCCGCATGAGAGGAGCTCCCTTTCGAACTTTATACAAACGCGTTTTTGTCTTAAATTCCTTTGTTAATAAATAGTTCTAATAATTAACCGTAAATACAACAATGCATGCTTGGCAGTTTTGACCGACACGTAGAACAGTTTCTCAAATAAAAACTATACTCAACGCATGTTGGTGCATCTTGACAATACAAATGATGTAGAGGCAAGTCGGTATACAGTAGAAAGCGAAACATCTCAAAAAGTAAAGGGCCTAATGGTCTCACTGACATCGATCAACACTCGAGTACATTGACATTTACCAGCTCAGCTTATTAGTTTCGTGTTGACTATATGGCAGCTAAACGTCAGCATGAGTCTATGTGTGTGTGTGCATGTCGGTGCACATTCTGATATGTTTCAGTTCAGTGTTGGGTACTGGACCAGTGACGAATGGGCTCATAAGCGCACAGGCTTTTAGCTTTTCAACCAAAGGACAGTTACAAAAAGCAGTGACCTCCGCAGCGTCTCTTAGTCACAGATGTTCATCAGTTCGTTCAGAACGTTCTTGAGCAGTACAGCAGAAAGGCGTCCAGTTCAATGATCCTTCATTGCACGTTTCCCAGTCGACAATATACAGAGCAGAAGTTCCTACGAGCTTTGGCGTTTCCTTTCCAAAAAAAATGCAGCATTATTCTCAGTAGCAAACAGGACTTCCTCTTCCTTTGTGATGTTTGATCTAGAAAACTCAACGTAGTGCAATTATACAGTTTTAAAAAAACGTGACTGAGTGACTTAATCCGAAGTGTCGCACAGTAGCAGTTCCGTTTCTCCAGTATTGCTGCACATCTGAGAACCTGAAGACATGCTCACTCTCAGGTGCCCCTTCCTGTTCAACAAAGTCAAGGACACTCCGAGTTTCTCTAAGTAGGGCGTAAGTTTGTGGGATAGAGCCTTTACAGGGCAGCAGCACTCCCAGACAGCGCACTGGTTATGGCCTGGAGCAGGGGGAAGCAGGGAGGGAACACGGGGCCGGGGCTGGAACAGGAGAGGCTGGGTGTCTAAGGGGGAATCCAGTGGTCGGGGGGTCCAGGCCAGGGCTGGTCCGGGGGGCTGCAGGCCTCCTGTCAGAGACTTACAGCGGACGCGCTGGAGTCCGGGAGGCCGGATGAGACCACCCGGTACCCCTGGGCGCGGCGGATCATGTCCCGGATCTCTCCGTTGAGCTCCATAAGCTTGGTGCAGATCTGCGAGGGATCCTGGCTGGAGCCCACCAGGGCAAACGTGCTGGTCTGGCCCAGAGACTGGTGTCTGAAGTAAATGTTCAGTAGTGTCTGCACCTCGTCCTCTGAATTCCCACCGAAGATGTCATTTGGCCACAGCCGTCTACAGGAACAAAGCAGAAAAACATGAGCCAGCAAATTAAATCTCAGGGTAAGTATGTTTATATGAGCACATGAGAAACCTTTCTAATCTATTCATGATGCAAACTGAAGCCCAAACCCAACGCAACTTTGAGGCCCAACCAAATTAGGTCTGACTGGTGCTGCTTAATTTGAAAGTTTGAAAATCATAGGTCAAAGTACTATTGAAAGCCATGTATTCCAAAAACCTCATATCTCCGAAATAGTAACTTTACAGGAGAAGGAAAAAAGCATTCTTAACATCGAATGGAAGTTCATTGATTTAGATTTTTTTTAAAGTATTTTGGACATTTATTCCATTCATCCTGAAATTTTTAGCATGTTGTAAATGGCAGCTCTGGCACAGCTGGCAAAATTCTGTGAAAAGGTACAAACCGACAAAAATGGAGATACAGTTATGTCTCTCTCTCTCTCTCTCTCTATATATATATATATATATATATATATATATATATCGCTGCTGTCGAAAGATAACCTTGTATCTTCATTTTTGTCATTTTCCAGTTTTTAACATATTTGGAAATGTCTGTCGTCCTTCACATTGTGTGTAAATTTCATGATGAATGGACCAAAAGAAACGTCCCAAAATTACATGGAAAAAACTCTGGTTCCATTGACTTACATTAAAAGGAAAGTACGTTTTTTCCTTCTCCTGTAAAGTTACCATTTTGGAGACACGAGGTACGAGGTTTTCTTCCAACAACAGCGACACACACACACAGACACACACACAACGGCCACTTAATGAAGTACATCTACATTGCATATGCACTTACTGTCCATTTTATCAACTTCACTTACCAAATAGGTGCACTTCCACAATTACAGACTGTAGTCCATCTGTTTTTACCCTGTTCTTCAAAGGTGAGGGCCCCCATAGGACCACCACAGAGCAGGTATTGTTTGGATGGTGGATCATTCTCAGCACTGCAGTGACACTGAAGTTGTGGTGGCGTGTTAGTGTGTGTTGTGCGAACATTAACACACCACGACCACGTCAAAGTCACTGCAGTGCTGAGAACACTACCATCTAAACCATAACTGCTCTGTGGTGGTCCTGACCACTGAAGAACAGGGTAAGAGGGGGCTAACAAAGTATGCAGAGAAACAGGTGGACTACAGTCTGTACACATACATTACACACAAGTTTAGGCTTATCATCATCAGTTTTCTGTACCAGAAGGAACCAATATTGACTGTCTGTATCTTTAAGCACACACAGTACTTAGTCTCCCTCTAGTGGTCAGATAACAAATTACAGTTTCCATCTGTAAAGATCTCAAAAGCCTTTCATAAATGGTGAAGCAGCAGCACTCCAGAGAAACTCTGGATCCCTGGGTGTTTTCATTTTAAAGCAGCAAACGTTCCTGACCTGCACTGCCGGATGTGGCGGATCGCTGTGGCATATTGATTGTTCCTCAGACACTCCAGGACTGCCTGCACTGCTGCCTCTGAGGTGGAGAAGCTAGGCTGGGTGCCAGGCCGCTTCTGCAGATCCTGGTCACCGGCTGCTCCAGTTGCTGCCAACTTCAGGCTGACCTTCAGCTCTCCCAGCTCACGTGACATGTTCAACAACTGCAAGGCAACACAAGAAGTGATGTGGTTTATCCATCATGGACTATTTGTTGCATGATGCGCAAAGGGTAATGAAGTAGAACTACTCATTAACTATCCATCATGTTCACTGATATAAAAATATAAACATATAAAAAACACTATAACTGTAGCAAAATTTAAAACTAACACTGGTACTGAATAATTTGTGGAAAATCTATTGCAATATAAAATTTTTCCAACTGGTATTGCATAGCTAGAGTGTTGAACACAGTGTACCAGAGTGACGATTCACAAGCACTGCTTTTTTTAGCTTAAATATTCTCTCTTAAAACTTATCATCTGTTAAATAATGTAGGACATAATTAAAATTGTAGCTCTTGCGATTCGAAAACTGCAGTCTTTCAAACTATGATTTCAAAATAAAAAATATTTTTTATTGTATTTTTATTCCACTGGCAGATATTTTTGCCTGTTTCAGCAAACATTTCTCGAAATGAGCAAAATGATCGGCCAGTGGAATAAAATAATGAATAAAAAATAATCATTTTTATAGGGAAATCAAAGTTTGAAAGAAATCGTGAAATAAAATGACTTAAAACAAATAAAAATGTCTAGAAATATGCTTCATAATCTTATAATATTTTTAGAACAATAATAAGAAAAGTTAGTTACATTAACTCTATTTACATAGATTTTATTTGCCAAAAAACAATTATACTATAAGGTATAATTGTGTATTGTTTATACCTCAGTCAAACTGTTTTATTTAATTTGTATGATAATTTGTATTTTTGTTTCCGGAGCCAAACTAGTCCATGAGGTATATAACTAGAGCTTTGAAGACATTTTAAATATAAAATATCAGAAATAAATGAAAATAAATTGCATAAAACCTAAAAAATAAGTGTACCACTAGCTAATACTGAGATTTAGAAAAGTCTACAGTTCCTTCCCCCACAATACACACCTCTGGCACTGAGCTGATGCTGCCGACTTTCGTGATCAGTTTACAGTAGCACTGAAAAAGCAGCAGGAGCTGGAAGTGCAGTTTGTACATACGCTGACACAGCTCCAGTTGCTGTGGAGGACAGATGAAAAGCAGACATGAGGCTTGATGATAAATACACATATATTAAAACAGATAATGTACAGAGACACAAAAAGCTCCACAGTTCATATATTTTGGACAAAACTGTACAAATTGAACCACTTATGGTTGTGTTTGCACATTATACTGTCTACATCATTGTTTCAGACTTACAGCCAGTGTTTCCATTTGCTGCATGGCAAGCAAGACAAGAAAGAGTTGAGAGAGGAAAAACACAAGGTTAATAAAAGAGCATGCAAACAGTGAGACAGAACTCGTCCTCCTAGTGTAGCATTTCCACAGAGTACAGAAATCCTATCCCTACCATTAGTGGATCAGCAGTAATCAGATTGAGCCGGGGGTTTGATTATATGTTCATGCAGAAGATGAATGATAGAGCTAAGTGAGGAGAGGATGAGGGAGGGTGAGGGCACATAATGCATACAACAGAAGAAAGAGGGAACGTGTTTGTGGGCGGCTGCCTATAGGTTAGCTTTACATGAAGTACAAACGCTACAGCACTGTAGTGCAGCAGCATTTATAATAATAATAATAATAATTTTCATTTATATAGCACTGTTCATGCCGGTGGCATCTCAAAGTGCTTTACAGACAGGAGATAAAGCTTAACAGTAATACAAGAAATTATAAGTATTAATTTAGAATCATAAAAAAATGACAGATCAAATTAAAGATAAACACCACGAGATGTAGAGTTTTAATTAAATGCTGAGTTAAAGAGATTCGTTTTTAGATGTTTGTTAAAAGTGAGCTCTGAGCTTGACTAATAAAAGGTGAACTGAGCTCCACAGTTTAGAAGCAGAATAACTGAGAGAGTCTCTCCATGTTTTCTGTATTTTACTGAAGGTGTTTGTAGTTTAGTATCTGCAGATCTAAGATCATAAACAGACAGACACTCTGTGATGTAAGCGATGCTTTATGGTCATTTAGAGCTTTAAAAACTAGTAGCAGAACTTTAAAATCTATCCTGAACGATACAGGTAATTTGCCTAATTGTGGTTTGTGGATTTCTGTCTTTTTCATGTTTCTATCACAGTGATTTACAGTCGCAGTCCTGAGAGATCCATGCACATTTTTCATGTTCCCTGCTCTCACTTACTCAAAAGTGTGCTGAGTAGGTCTCCAGAACAGGGACTGATAAACACTGTAGACCAGAGGTCTTCAAGTCTGGACCTTGAATTCAGTTTTCAGTCAAGGATTTTGTAATCACTAGTAGTTCACTGAACTGCTGATGTAGCTGATAGGTCATCTGGTGTCACACCTATGGATATTGTCAAAATCCAGGAACGGAAACTGGATTTAAGATCCGGATTTGAAGACCTCTGCTGTAGACTGTCAATATATGGTATTATTTAGCACAGCAATGTTGGAAGCTGTTTAAACTGTTCCTAATCAATTGTATTTCATTGTACGACTGACATTAAATATGGCTTTAACTATAGTATTGTGCAAAATCAGAGACCAGGTAATCGTTTTTAGGTAATTACCAGTCAAAATGGCAATTAAGTAAACTTTTTTGTAAGGAAAAATGAATTGAAATATGATATTTTTTGCCATTTTTAGTTTGTCCACTCTTAATACAGCTTCCAATCTTTTTGCAAGATTCGCTGTCAGTGTTGAGAAGAAATCTGCTGAACTAAAACACATTCAACGATGCCATGGTCTGGACTCCGGGGTGGTCAGTCCATTGTTCTGAGAACACCAACAGCTTATTTGTTAGATTTGCAAATTTTGAAATTTTGTCAATTTGACAGCTACACATCCTTTCAGACCCACAGCACTGAGTCGTCTTCTCACAGTGGAAGGATGGACAGAAACACCTGTGGATGTTTTCAGATCTGAAGCAGCTTGATTTTCTCCTCTCTCTCAGAGGTGAAAGCTGTACGTTCTGTTCATCTGATGGGGCAGTGTGTCTACCAGGTCTTGCATGGTTGTTAGGAGTACAATTTTCTAAATATCCTTTACTAATTGTTCACTTTCAGAAACGTCTGTTTTTCCACTTTATTTTTCCTTTCCTATCTAATCTCCTATCTCCGGAAAAATAAACAACTTGTACGTGACGGCCGTTTTGACTAAAGAACATTAAATAAATGAAAAGATGGTCTCTGACTTTTGCAAAGTACTATATATGGTGTATATATTTTCTGTGTATTGTTCCATTGTTCTTACTGCCGTGTTATTCAATGCATTTTTTGATTTACTGCTGACTACAATTTACTTTTTGTACATGGCTAATAAAGAATTCTCAATCACAGGTTGAACATCCAGTAAGTGCCTTGTTTGCTCTCAAAGCAAATGCCGTGCTGCCATAGAAGCACATTGCAGAAGAAGTGGCCATGGAAGAGACATATTGGATCACACACTCTGCCTTTCTATTCAAGTTTCATTAATTTGTAAAAGCCCTTTGAGTTTAAAGGGACATGAAGAAAGTGAAAGTGCATCAAAATCAGCAACAGTCACTCACAGAGCTAGCAGCAATTGGTCAGGAGCAGGAAAGAAAGAGAGACAGCATGTAATGTAATGAATTTTCATTCTGGTAGTGTGAACCTATTATCTCCACACAAGACTGATGTTAACAACGTGGTTTTAAGTTAGGATGCATGGACAGGTTAAAGTGCATAGAATGAAAGTCTACACTAAAGTTTTGTCAGTTGTAGGTAAATATAACCCTATGGGCCCTTTTATGAGTCTAGTGGAGTTTTGAGTAAGTTTGGGCTGCAAAGTGGGGTGTATAAAGGTATTTCTGCAAACCTTCTCCTCCGTGTCTCCAGGCTGACAGGTGATCACCCCATCATCGGGGCATCTGGGGAATGTGGCCTTACAGTTCTGCAACCACTGTAGGGAGTCAGATACATGCAGGTCAGAGTGGTTTCAAAGCAAAGAGCTTCACAGTTCATTGAGCTATCAGCACCTTCATCCTATGGTTTCAGTGACATGATTTTTCTGTTGTGGACACCACATTTGGGACCAAATTTCTGGCTTCGCTGCTCCGCATGGATGTAAATAGAGGTGAAAGATGGCTAAAATCACTCTTTTTACTTTGGAAGAGAAAAAAACGTTACCTCGACAAAGTCGATAAAATAGGCTGCAATCCTTATAAAGTTTCCCCCTGAACTCCTGGTTCCACTTAAACTGGCGGAAAAGCTACCAAATTTGCGTTTCCTGATATATTTATCTCATACTCGGCCCCCCTCTCAGAGCATTTAAAAGCACAGAAGCCCCCTGGCTCTTCACGCCAGGGTGGGAAAGGATCCCATGGTGTTACATAAAGGGGAGAAAACACTCGTCATCATAGGAGGGTAACGACATCAGCTAATTAACACAGATGTGAACAATGCTGGCCTTTAGATAACCTTAGCTGATGTTAACAGCCGAGAGATGAACAGTCACCCCCTAACGGAGCTGCAGACAGCCGGTATAACTTTACTCTCTGTTTCTGGAGATTTAAATGACGTTTGAATGGAGAAACATAAACGTTAAATATCAGACTGAATGTCATGGATCGGAAAACTACGTCGTGTTTCGACAGATGTGATTCTGTAAGTTTGTTAGTGTAGTTAGTGCAGAGTTCAGCTCCAGTCCTGAAACCCCTGCACTTCAAGCCTGGAGTGAAAACACTGAATTAAAGGTCTGTGTGTCTCTCGTTATTCTCGGCACAGCAAATTGAAGGCGTCGTGCAGCGCAGTCACTCTCTGATACGGTCCTCAAAATGGCAGCGACTACACAGTGTGACGTCACGCGAAACGTGAGAATACAGACAAGTGTGTGCCTGAGATCAAAGATGTAACTTACTGAGACGGCTGCTTCCTCTCTGTTGTTGTATGTGTCCAGATACTCCTGCAACTCCAATACACTGAACTTCATCATCTCCAACAGCCCATAGGACATGATCTGCAGGGCAAAGGAGGAGAGGAAGAGACAAAATTTAGCAAAGGCTTACTGCATTCTTTAATATATTTACAAACAAGTACATAAAGACTTATTAACTAAAATTCAATTCTATAGATTGCCCACTCCATTCTATACACAGTCATTCATGTACACGATATAAGAAACATATCGTTGCTGTCCAAAGAAAAACAAGTATGTGCAAAATAGTAACTTTACAGGAGAAGGCAAAACGCTCCTACTTTTCAATGCAAGTTTAATGTAAAGAAATTTTATTCCAAGTGATTTTAGAGCATTTCTACTGGTCCATTCTTCATGAAATTTTCATGCAACGTACAGGACAGCTGGTGTGTTGAAACAGAGAAAAATAAAAATCAACAAAAATGGAGATACATGTTTTTCTTTGGAGAGCGACTATAAGGAGGAACACTTATTTGGATTATTCACCCAGAATGTGCCGTAACTTATAAGAGTAAAATAAAATCTGGACATATGTGCCCCTATCCTGATTCCACTGGAGGAGTAAAATGGTGATGGTGAGAGCATGGCACTGTTAACAAAATGAAATGGAAATTCCCTCCAAATTTGGACGGGGGATTCCCGCAAGGGAGATTAGCTGAGGTAGTCAACAGTGAACGAAAATGTCAGCTTTATGAGCTTCACCAGTTCACGATGCATGAACAGACACAATAATAGAACACGCAATCACATTCTGTAAGGTAAAAAACATTTTTACTTTGCTCTTTGCTCACCGTATCAGCATCCACAAACAGCGTGGGGCAGTCTGAACACGTCTTCAGCATTTGAGACGACCTCACAAACTTTGCACCGATTCCCCTCAGGCTGTCTCCAAGGTAACCAGCAGCATCAGTGGTCAGGGAACAAAACTTATTCTGGATGTTCTGAAGAGAGAGATAATGTATATAAAACATCATGAATTATAAATGTTAAACATTTTTCCTTTCCAAATTAATGATGAATCATCAGTCCAATCTATTTTGTCAAAGTCTTTATCAGCTCCACTTACTATATAGGTGCACTTTGTAGTTCTACAGTTACAGACTGTAGTCCATCTGTTTCTCTGATACTTTGTTAGCCCCCTTTTACCCTGTTCTTCAGTGGTCAGGACCCCCATGGACCCTCACAGAGCAGGTACTATTTGGGTGGTGGATCATTCTCAGCACTGCAGTAACACTGATGTGGTGGTGATGTGTGTGTGTTGTGCTGGTACGAGTGGATCAGACACAGCAGTGCTGCTGGAGTTTTTAAACACTGTGTCCACTCACTGTCCACTCTATTAGACACTCCTACCTTGTCCGTCCACCTTGTAGATGTAAAGTCAGAGACGATAGCTCATCTGCTGCTGCACAGTTTGTGTTGGTCATCCTCTAGTCCTTCATCAGTGGTCACAGGACGCCGCCCACAGGACGCTGTTGGCTGGATATTTCTGGTTGGTGGACTATTCTCAGTCCAGCAGCGACACGGAGGTGTTTAAAAACTCCAGCAGCACTGCTGTGTCTGATCCACTCAGACCACAGTCTACAGACTACAGTCTGTAACTGTAGAACTACAAAGTGCACCTATACAGTAAGTGGAGCTGATAAAATGGACAATGAGCGTAGAAACGAGGAGGTGGTCATAATGTTATGCCTGATTGGTGTATGTATTGTATATAAGTAGTTTATGTGGTGTGAGATGTATAAGCGTATGAACTGGTAAAGTAGGGGGGGTCACAGTACCTGGAACAGGGAGTAGAAGATGCGGAAGGTGTAAACAGCACACGACCCGTCCGTGTCACACACCAGCTGGTTGATGTGCATGCGCCACGCCTCCTCAGCATCGTCACACACCGTTGGCTGGAAGGCAGCCAAGATGGCAGAGAAGAACGGAGAGGGGGGTGGAGGAAAGCCTAGCTCGTCCAAATCATCTCTGTCCTCCCCAAAAGTGTAGCTATGGCAACAAGCAAAAGAGAGGAGCTCACTTTTTTTGTTCATGTAATTGGTCACTATGGCAACAGCATTTTATATCTATATCTACCCAAAGAATAATGACCAAAGTGAGAAGAAGTATGTTTGGGTAGTTCTTGTCCACAAGGGGGCAGTGTTTTCAACAGCATCCTTGCATCTGTCACATTAATTCAGTCATACTTTAGACGTGTATTACACTCATACATTCACCACTGTCTGAACCGAAGCCTGTAAAATTTGTAGTGTGCAGCTGCATGTCAGGACATACCCAGGGAGACAGTTTGGGTCCAGGTCCATTTCTGATCGCTCAGGCTCTGGTGGAAGGTTCAGAGTGAAGCTGGAACCACAGTCAAACCCTGGAGGCAACTCACTGACACAGAATGACAAGTCGTCCTCCTGCACATTACTGTCCTCATCTTCTGGCAATGGCTGCAAAAATGCACATGTAACCCAGTCCTTAGTGTAAGTCCTTACTTTTTCTTTTTGATGAATTGTCTATCAGTTTGAATCGCCAGGTCACATTACATGTTTTGTTGATTGTCTATTTAAAAATAATAACACATTCTCTAAGGAGAAGAATCTTAAAAATGCCATTTTTGTGCTAATTTTAGTGCACTATTTCTAATTATTTTATGTGTTTGATGTACTGGAAAAAGATAAAGCATATAGAATAAACATAAAATGTATTTTGCACAGGCCACATTTTAAGCTTATTTTTTCCAATATGTTAAATTCAGCAAAAAAACGAATTGTGCATTAAAGTGTGCAGCAGTGTATTTTTTGTGTATTTATGTTCACATACAAAATCAACAAAAAACATCTCAGTTGACCAGGGGTGCCCAAACTTTTGCATAAAACTGTACATTATGTAGCACCAAGAAAAAGAACTGTCAAACCAAATGAACTCGGTCAGTACATACAACAGATTTCACTTACAGGTGGAATGACAGTGTCATCTGGCAGGGACGTCCCCAGGCAGGGAGTGGTTGCGTTCAGAGAGTTTGGGTCAGCGGATGTGGTGTCATAAGATGTGGACAGAGAGTCGGTGTGATTGGTGTCCTCTGATGGCGACAAGTTCATGGTCTGAACAGAAAAATATGTAGAAATGTGGATTCATGTATTAGTGCTGCACGATACAGACAAAATATCATATTGCAATTATATTGCTACTTATTCCTTGTGATACAGATGAGCGTTCAGTTTGGAATCACTGTTCAAAAGTTTGAAATTAAGGTTCTGAACAATATAAAACTGGTATGGTTTGATAACGGTATAAACTGATTCTAGTATGTTTGTCATGAGCAACTACACAGGTTTGAGATAATTAGTAGGACGCTAGTAAGCTGTAAATAAAAATGTTAGACGTGTCCAGAAGGATGAACAAAGCTGTAAACGATTTGAAAATGACTATTATAACAATATTAAAGTTATATTTTATAAAAAGATATATTAAAATTGATATTCAAAATTTATCATTTTTTTTCAAAAGTGCAGATGAAACCTTAAGGTACACAACAACAAAAAAAAACATTTAATAAGACTAGAAACCTCTCAAAATAGCTTTTGGTGACACAAATTAATATAGTATGTTAACTGATTTCAAGTCTTTGAGCATTAATGTATTAAAAGCACACTAATGAACTTTTGATTTGATATGAAAAAAGACTGACCTGCATTACTGTGAACAAAATTACAATTACATTTTTTAGATGCAGTGACCGCTTTGAATCTTTAAGAGGTCCACAGAAAGTTATTTGGAACGTCCAAGATGCACACGGCAAACAATTAAAACTAGTTATTTGTTATAGGGCTTGTTTGCATATGTTTGCAATTTTGCAATAACTATTTAAATTTGCTGTTGTCGGACGAAAACCACGTATCTCAGTTTTTCAGTTTTTGACATAATTTGAAAATGCCTGTTGCCCCTTACATTGTGTGTAAATTTCATGATGAATAGACCAAAAGAAACGACCCAAAATGACTTGGAAAAAACTCTGGTTCCATTGACTTACATTAAAAGTAAAGTAGGTTTTTTCCTTCTCCTGTAAAGTTACCATTTTGGAGAGGTTTTGTTCTGACAACAGCACATTATAAATCATGCGGCATATATGTGTGAAACAGATAGAGACGGAAAACAAAGGAGGTCTCTAAAGTGGCCCGTACAAGTTGTGAGTGGGAAAGACTTTGGCTGGTGGAGTTGGACTCCTCCTCGGATGAGTCGTCCGAGTCGTGCTGTGGGTCGTGGGGACCAAGGCTGGGCGTGCTGTCTGAGTGCTGGCTCTCCTCCAGCAGCTCCGTCAGGTCCGTGCTGTCCAGGGAGCGCCGCCGCACTCCCCAATTAAAACTATCCAGGTTCTCACCCTAAAACACACACACACACACACACATCTGAGTTTCCTGAAAAATACAACACAACAGGTTGTAATATATAGTCATTTAAAACAATCGGTTTGTTACCTTTTGCTTTATTTGTTTTAACCAAACATGCTAAAGCAGGTGACACATGCAAACTTACCAGCAGGATTTTGAAGTTTTACTGGTGAAGAGGTTTTTAAAACATTTACATTTTTCATTAAACCCTTTCTATAGAAACGTATATCTACAGTGAAATGTAATGTCTGAGTCTGATCATATAACTTGGCCACAAGATGCTGTTAACATGCATTTCTGTGATTCATGAATGTTGTACATGTAAACTTTCCAGGACAGAAACGGTCTAGATGAGCAGCACACACACATGCACAGAGTGGCTCTGTGCACCTACAGCAGCAAAGCCTCTAACACTCTACATCAAGCACTAACATGCACATGCTTACCTGCAGTTCCTGGGCAGCACAGGAGAGAAAGAGAGAGATAGTTATCCACACAGCGAGAAAGACAAGCAAGAAAGCAAACCAAGAGTTAGAGACTGAGAGTGAAGACTGTTAATGCACCACCAGTGTTATGAAAGGAGAGAGAGAGAAGGAGAGAGACACTACTGAAATGACGGAGTCTTGTTAGACATAAGAATAAGAATAAAACTGAATAAAAATGCAACTGGATAATTAAACTGCAGGATTTTTTTTTTTTTGCAAAAATAGTAAACTCTTGTCAAAAATCCTTTGTGAACAAAAAGTTAAAGGGCCCATATTTCTCTTGTATAGTTCACTTAAACTGTTTGTGGGGTTTATGTACCAAAAACAGTCTTAATTAATTTTTACATGAACATTTTCCAACCTCTCTTTATCCCTTAGAATTAAACAGGCTGTTTTGGTTACTGTGCCGTCGTATCTCCAAAATCTCGTATCTCCAAAATAGTAACTTTACAGGAGCAGGAAAAAACCTACTTTACTTTTACTGTAAGTCAATGGAACCAGACATTTTTCCAATGTAAAGGGCAACCGGCATTTTCAAATTATGTCAAAAGCTGAAAAACAAAAATGGAGATACAAGGTTTTGTTCTGACAGCAGTGGATATTATAAATGACTTCTGTTCTGACTGTCATGCCTGGATTATGCCTCAGTCAAAAAGCAGTCCAGGCTGAAATACCCCTTATAACTTCAGTGTGAATGGGCAGGGCTAAACCGCTGTAGGTTGAAGGGGGATATATGTAAATATTGTTTTTTGTGACATCACAAAAACAATTCATTCAAAATGGGCTTTTTAGGGCTTCGTTTTCATATATTACTATACTATATGGACATTATATACTATATGGACTGGAGAATTATGAGACTTTAACAATGTTCTAACAATATACTACATTAAACTTTTATTTTACAAAAGGGATAGAAATTCTTCCTTTATATGGGCCCTTTAATGATAACCAACACACAATCTGTGATCTATGCATGAACAAAGCCATCAGAGCTACCAGAACTAGTTTTTTTTCTTATTATAAACTAAAAGCAGACAGAGATTTCGATTCCCAGCACATTTTAAAAAGGATGAACTTCCCTAACATTGAAAGAAGCCTGTCTTAAAGGGGAATTCCACCAAAATTAAAAAAAAATCTGCATAATTAAAGGGTTAAGACGTAAACTGTCATTCAGAGTGGTTTGATGTGAAATTATCCATTCTAGAGTCAGAATTTTTCACATTTGTGCTGACAGGAATCAGACATCCAAAGTGTTTAATGACCATTAAAGCTCCTTCACAGAAAGTTATTACATAAAATGGTTTTGAATACTCTGCCTGATGCCTGAGACCTTGTATATTATTACTAAAATGTATTTTATTTTTTAATCCTCATTCATGGCAGAAACATACTTGCAAGGCAGCAAATTAGTACCTGGCAACAAAATTAATTTTTTTCAGATTTACCACTATTTTACCATCAGCAACATTACATATAAAACTCAAGAGGACACGTAGATCCTAGCGGTTTCGGATGTTAATAAAATGGCTATATTTGTGTTGCAGACATTGTGACCCCTGATTCCAATCAGCACCACTGAAGAAATCAGATGTTTCTCTATAACTAACCATTTTACATCAAACCACTCTCAATAACTTTGTTTACTTTTTCAACCACTGAATTACGCAGAAATTTTGAAAAAGCTGGGAATTCCTCTTTTAAGTGTTGTCGTATGGAATTCCCTGCTCGCTCACCTCTCCATCCTCAAGCTCCACGTCTAGGAAGTCGAAGTCTCTGAAGACGCGGAACTGCTGCTCTGAAGCAGTGTCATCCAGTGTGTCTTCACGTGTGCCATCCTCCGATGACACCTGGCTGGGCTGCCGTTCCATCAGCTCCAGGTCACCACAGGATGAGAAGATCACCTGGCAGACAGAGTAAGAGGCATGATTTTGTGATTTATTTATTTCACGAGTCAGCAGCCTGATTCATGGCAGACCAGTATGGACATTAACAGAACCTCCCCAGCTTTATGCCATGAATGTTGTAATTGGTACTTTCCTTGATTTAAACTTAGACTGATGTTATCTGTAAGAGGCTTATTTAATCAGTCATATCATTAGACCCAGCATAAACCTTAATAATTAACCTCATCATTGTCAACACAGCAGGCATACTCTGATAAATTAAACATATTAACAGCTCATGGTTCTGTATTTCATATGCACAGCAGCAATGTGGAGCAGATAGAGTGATCACTTACAGATGGATTTTTGGTGAGGCCGACTTCCTGGCCAAACAGAGACAAAACATTCACCAGCTTTTCTCGCGTTCGCTTCTGGGAATTGGAAAAAAATATATAGTGTTATTTCTGGGAAGAGGAAAAAAAGAGTTATTTCTGGGATGATAAATTGTTAGCTCATGTTCTTCCAATGTTTAACCCTCTGGGGTCCACAAACTCGCCCATGCATCGAATTTGATGTTTCTATATTTGTTTTTCTATCTTTAAGATAATACAGTGCAGAAATACGGTTCAAACATTTCCAGAATCTGTGGAGTCGCTCTTTTGATTCCATTTTATCGCGAGATCATACGCGACTCACGGCTGGAGTAATGACACTATGAAGAGGGGCTGAGATACACGTCATCTGCCCCTCACTGTGTGGAACTGGTGGATTCATGCGTTCGTCTACATTCTGTGTGAAACTGACCAATGGACACTCAGGACTGACCATCACGACGGAAACCCTTCATTCTTCATGCAGTCCACATAGGAAACACATGTGAAATGGCATGCAGAGAGTTTACAGCTGCTGAAGTTGCTGCAGCGGTTTTGGAAAGTAGTGATGAAGATAATGGAGCATTTTGATATGAAACATATGGGTATCAGAAAAAATTAATAAGAAATGCAAAAAACTGAGAAAATGCCCTCAGACCCCAGAGGGTTAATGTATACATTCAGACTTGTCTCAGAAAATACAAAGATAATCTAAATTAACATTTAAAAAGAGAATAGAAATAGGAGACTAGAAATTAAAAACATGTTTAAAACATGATTATAAACAACAGATTTAAAAGAGAATAAAAATTAAATTAAAAATCAAATTAAATTAGGATAATAAAGTGCCATTATAGGATAGATGTGCAGTAGAGCTGCATTGTAGCTAAACACTGCTTCTCCATGTTTAGTCTTTCCCTTAGGCAGGACTAACTGACTAGTTCCTGATAACCAGCGATAATCTGTAACATACTGGTAACCAGTGTAAGGATTTCAACATGAGGGTGATGTGCTCCCTGTTATTCACTGCTAGTTAGACTCTGGCAACTGCATTTTAAATCAGTTGAAACTGTTGGGAGTCCAGTTATGAGACCATTCCAGTTAGCGATCAAGGCACTTACAAAGTGAGTCAAGGGAACCACTGTCATTTGGGGAGAGGGCCAATTAAATCTGAATATCATCCACATAGCTGTGGTAAGATATCCCATAGTCTTGTGGGATTTGGCTAAGAAGAAGCAGGTATAAATTAAATAAGAGCGGCTCAAGAAACGAGCCTTGGGGCGCACCACAGGTCGCTGGCACAATGTCAGACACGTTATTTTCTATTACGACTAAGTAGTTCCTTCCTCGCTAGTATGAACTAAACCATTTCAGAACAGGTCCAGAGTGTCCAACCCAGTTCTCAAGCCTATTTATAAGAATTTTATGGTGAATGGTATCAAAGGCAGCACTGAGATACCGGGCCAGCTTAGATATAGAGACACTAACACGAGATATCTTGATGCATTTACACCTGATACTGGGGCTGAAAGATTAATCGTTTTTATATCGAAATCGCAATTTAAGACTGCAATTTTCAAATCACAAGAGCTGCAATGGTCTTTAAGTATAGCTACACTCTTAAAAATATAGTTCTTCAATGGTTCTTTAGTAAAGACAGTCATTCTATACAGAACCATGAACACTCCAGACTCATTTGCATGCATAAAAAGTTCTTTGCATGGTGAAATGGTCCTTCAGATTGGAGAATGTGTTGTATGTAGTTCTGTACAGCATCAAAAAGGGTTCTGCTATTGTTACTTTGTTGCTTGTTGATGTCAAGCTTATAACAATAGAAGAACATTTTGGTCCTGTAGAGAACTCTTTTCAAAAAGGTTCTATATAGAACCATATACAACACATTCTCCATCAATCTGAAGAACATTTCACCACGCAGAGAACTTTTTATGCATGCAAATGGGTTGCTGAGTCCTTATAGTTCTACACAGAACTATTGTCTTTACTAAAGAACCCTTGAAGAACCATCTTTATTCAGTGTGTACATCAGCAAAAACGTTGTTCTAAGTTTTAAGAGCTGAAACGGAACCTAATAAGAGTTTGTGAACTGCCTGTAGGTGAGTTAGACCAATCAGAGGCAACCAAACCTCCATGTGTTGTGACATCACAACCACAACTTACTGGCAGTTTGACAGACTACATTTAGGGGTCGAGCCTCAAGACAAAAAAGGTGGATGTTCTGGTCTTCAGGGCCAAAAAAATCAGGCCTGAATCTCAATTAAAAAAAAAAAAACTTAGTCTAAAACTTATGTCTCACCTGTGATGACTGAGGCCTCTTCCAGCTGACAGGTACCAGAACAGGGTTGGAGCTAGAGCCAGATGAAGTGGAGGAAGCGCTGCGCGTCACTGCAATGGCCCGTGCCTTCCCGTCTCTGCCTGCTGAGCCCTGTAGCTCATCATACCTACGTCCAATCACTGGCGTCTGTACACAAACACAAACTCTTTGGTATGATTACACGGTTGGGGACGCACCACAGATGTAACAGTGACTCTATAAGTCAATATCAAGAAGGTCTGTGAAATGAGCCTGAGTAAAAACATATGTTTTACTGATGAATGCCAAATTTTCAGCTAAGCAAGAGCATACATCATTTCTTGTGCTGTCACATAAAAGCACTCTATGCTCAGAGCAGCGTACATTCAGTACACACATAAAGGGTGTGTCTCAAAACCTGGTGAGCTCTCTACATACACAGCATTTTACGCCACAATATGCGCGCTCCCGACAAGAAGGCTGTCCCAGTTCTTAGATACCTCAAATATGCTGCCTACTGCAATAGAGGCGAACTGCAATGAAAGTTGTTTCCGTAAAACAAGAACGCCCACAAAAGGAACGCCCACTTATCATTCATTGGCCGATATATCTGCAAAACGGCTTCTCTCATTGGTGGATACGACTCAATGGGAAAAATACATCAGTATTTGTAAAGACGTTACTAATACTAAATTAATGTTGTTTATTACTGACATCATATTCTGTAATGAAAAGAGCTTGTTGATCTCGACCTTATTAATCTTTCCCATTTTTTTCGTGCTGTTCTGTACGACGGCGTTTTAGGGTCACTGTTAATTAAAAAAAAAATAGTAGACTTCGAGAATAAAGTCGTAATATTTCGAGGAAGGGTCGCAATATTTTTAGAAAAAGCCGTATTTTCCAGAGTAAAATCGTAATATTTTAATAAGAAAGTAGTAATATTTTGATGATAATATCGTAAATTACGTCATTAAAGTGGCATTAATACCAGGAAAGGTTGCAGTATTATGGCAAAAGGGTTTGCAAGAGAAGGTAACCTCCTCATGTTAAATGAGGGGCGGTGAGTTGGTGGAGTTATGCTTTCATATCGATTCACCCATTGATAATCAAAATGATCGATCCACAAAGAGACAGGAGTGAGTGGAACTCCGGCGCCAGTACAGCAACCGAGACCCCTGCGCATTATAGCAGCCCCCCTACAGTTAGCACTTAATCCTCGAAATATCGCTTTTATTCTCTTAACTTTACGTCTTTAATCTCAAAAGTATTACGACTTTATTCTCAAAGTCTACTGTTGTTATTTTTATTAACAGCGGCCCTAAAACGCCTTGGTAGTTCTGTTTACTCAGCAACGTTACTGTGGCTTTTACTCCGAAGCCCACCTGCCCCTGATGTCACATGACGCCCTCATATGGTGCTGCAATTAGACCCTCCTCACCTACTGAGGTATCTAATTTTGGCCGAATATCGAGAGAGCATCGGATGTTTCCTCAGCCGCTGAGGCAATCCTGCGATGCAATGTGCCGCAAATTTCGTTTTTAAGATGGCAGGCAGAAGCGCTTCGCCAAGCATCAAAAGTCGTCTTCAAATGTAAGTTATTCTGATTTTCTGTGGTATTTTATCTGTTTTCTTGTCATAAAGGTGCATAAATAGCCTATATTTTGCAATTTTACAGTTTTTGGAACACCAATCCATTAGCATGCATGCTAGTGGATTTTGAAGCCTTAAGCTTATTGTTTTAAATAGCCAGTTGGCAAACAAACTTGCTGGCTATTGACCAAATAGCGTGACTAATGATAGGTTTTGTCAAACGTTAACTAATGACGAGGTAAAGCAATCTAATCGTTGTTCCGGTTGTTTGTGTCTTGAATGGCAGAATAATGAGGGTTAAATAGTGCTTTCCTGCACATCTGCAAAGTCTGTGTTCGCATACATGAGTTGTTTCCCCTTTTTAGGGACGAGATCGGCACTCGAAGCATTCATAAAGGCTCGTATAGAGAGAGAGAGGCTGTACCGGGGAGAAAAACTCTTTACATTTGTTTTTTTTTAACTTGTAAAAAATGTTAACTGTTCAAGAGCAGCAAGTAGCGTTTGACCACAACTGTGGTCTATTTTGCTGTTTCATTCAGGGCAAATACAATTAAAATCGCTATATAAACCACCAGAGCAGGATCCACGTTGGCAAAACGTGATTCTGACGGCTGAGGTAAGTAAACGCCGGTCTCCTGACGTCATTGCCGTCTTAACTAGAGAGTCTCATTTATCTGTCTTATAAGGATAGATGACGGTTGGAACGCTGCCTACTTAGACAGCTGCCTATGTAGACAGCGGCACCTAAGAGAGCTCACTAGGTTTTGGGACACACCCAAAATGTACATTCAAAACATCAAAATATTACACTTTTTCTTACGTGCACCTCAAAACAAACATCTCATGCTAATAACCAAGTACAATACAGCTTAAAGACACACATCCTCACATCCAAATATCAACACATGCTTACCAGCAAGGCTATGCAAACACGCTCGTAGACAGAACCCTGCACAATCTGCTAGCCTTACACACACAAGCATAATGAACTCTCCAGGAGCTGTGACTCATAGCCACCCGGCATCAATCTAGCCTTCCTGTAGATAAGCACTGTAAGTTCATGTGGATAAACAGACTAATTATTGAGGTCTTTATCAGTTTACGCTCGGTCCATCTGGACAGGATATCGCTGCTTTTACCAGGTCAGAGCATGAGGCTGGGAAACACAACCCAACACAACCCAACTCCAGCCCTGGAGACACTCTGCAACGCCATACTCAGCACAAGAAGGACCTGATATTAAGATAATGATAAACTCAGGTTGAGGAGAACCACAAAACTGTGAGCACAGGTGTCTCCACAAGGGGGAGAACAACATGGGAAAAAGATATGCAGTATGTTCATAAGGCACTGCAGGCACAGAGCCTATTTTTGTCAGTTCTTCTTTCACTGAGTGGAGTTTGTTTGTAGTGCAGATCAATATTTTCATCCTGTGATATTCCAAGAACGCAGTTCCTGATCTAACACAAAGGCTAGCCATTTAAATATTGTCCTGGATATCCTCAGGCCTGTTGATGTCTCATGCTGTGCTGGGAGACGAACAGGCCAGAAACATTTCCTTGGCCCTTTCAAGTCTGAAACAATTTCCTGGAATTCAGGAGGCTCCCCTGACAAAATTACACTCAGGATCACATTAGGCTTCAGTACTCCACCCAAAGCCGGGTTTTAGGCTATCCTGGTGAGCAATTAGAAACACGAGACATCTTGATACATTTGTGATTTAATCATTTTATTTTCTAACTGAGTTTGGTGTCTGACCTTAATTTGGCTGACCTGAATTTGTCTGGATGATGAACATCCGGCCCAACTTTCACACAGCTTTTTAAAAACCGATTATCAGTCAGTTTGCAGTTCATCCTTTGAAAGCAAACTGAGACACTGAGCAGGTATTTTTCTCTCTAAAATTGCAGAAGCACCTGAGTCCTGTGTCTGAGTGTTAGGATGGTGGTGCAGACACAGCACATCCAAGCAGAATACTCTCTTTAGTCAGAGTACTCAGGTTACACGGAAAATGTGTGTGCAGGGGAAAATGGATTAGCTGACAGAGCAAACAAAAAAACAACAGTGGAGATGATGCACTATCCAACTGATACAAAACCAAGGCTTCAGACACTGTCGGCCATGTCGCGGAAAATGTGAAATCTGCTATTAACTGAATGTTATTACAGCAATTATTCACCATCTTCACAAACTTGCTAACCAACTGCTGCTGTTGTACCAGTGTGTGAGGTAATGCTTGTTACAGACTCCATTTACCTCTCTTTACACCCTGTGTAAAAGTTTTAGGATTTTTTTTACACACACACACACACACACACATATATATATATATATATATATATATATATATATGTGCTATCGCCTCACAGCAAGAGGGGCCTAGGTTCGATTCCCCGGCTGGGTAATCAGGGTCCTTTCTGTGTGGAGTTTGCATGTTCTCCCCACGTCTGCGTGGGTTTCCTCCGGGTTCTCCGGTTTCCTCCCACAGTCCAAAGACATGCAGTCAGGCTAATTGGACACGCTAAATTGCCCCTAGGTGTGGATGTATATGTCTGTCTGTCTGCCCTGCGATGGACTGGTGACCTGTCCAGGGTGTATCCTGCCTTCCACCCAATGACAGCTGGGATGGGCTCCAGCTCCTCCCATGACCCAGAAGGAAAAGCGGCTTAGAAGGTGTGTGTGTGTGTGTGTCTCCAAAAATGCAGATACAAGGTATCCGCAGCGAGATATATAATATATATATATATATATATATATATATATAGACATATGTATGTCTGGTTCTATTGACTTACATTAAAAGTAAAGTAGATTTTTTCCTTCTCCTGTAAAAGTTGGAGATACGCTGTTTTCTTACAACAACAGCGATTTATATATACACTGTGTGTACTACTTTTTTACCTCTGAAATGTCAAAGTGGAAGTCCAGTGTTTTGCCAGGCAGGGCTTTAGATGAGCCATCCCACATCATGCGGCTGACTTCCAGATTGGCCAGGTCCCCATGAGCATAGGAAGGCAGGGACAGACTGGCTGAACGGGACACGACCAGCTTCAGCACATTCAGAGCCTCCTTCCAGTGGACAGTCTGCAACACACATGAACTCACATATATACACGTATGTTCATGTATAAACGTAGGAAACCTAACCTGCGACTAATAACATAACACAACATAACACACCACCAAATTCAATTTGAAACCCACGGACATAAATAATGAACAGAGTAAGCACTGCTCTGTGACCACTCCGAAGATACCTGTACACATACCTGTACAAACTTCTCAATGGTTTTGAGCACCTCCACGTTGAAGGGTTTGACCTGAATGCCTGCCAGGTCCATGTGACTCAGCAGACTGTAGATGATCTGCAGCAAAGGCTGTTGCATGCTGGGTAAGCCCTTATCCAATAGCTACAAGAGAGAAGTACAGCAGACAATTCAGAAGACAGTTTGGAGTGTTCTTTAAATCACTCCTCTTTTACTTAGGTACTTTTGTTAATTATAGCACAGAAACGAAATTGTAATGAAGATTTATTTTTTAAAGTGCTCATAATGATAAACAACACAAACATGTCATTAAACACAGAAACTTACAATTATATGAAAAAAGTTTATCTGGGCAGTTAGCACTTTCGCTAACACTTATCTCTCAGAAAAACATTAATATTAGAATAAATTTACTTTTATGCATATTATGTGGGACTGCCCAAAAGTTTCTGCTTTTTGGGAGGAGGTTATTGATTCCATCTCTTTTCTAACCAAGACATACTTCCCTGAACTTCATTTACTGAATGATAATGATAAGTTCTCTATTACGGAAAGTTCCCGGAAAATATGGCTGGCTGGCTTAAGGGCAGTGAATAAAGTCATTGTCCAGCATTGGCTACCCCCCCACAACCTGTCCATACGTCACTGGCTCCATACCTTACTGGATATCCTATATCTGGAACTGTCATTTGCAAGAATTGGCAATGCTGGCCCTGGAACTCTTAATACATGGATTCACGGAATTTCTAAAGTCAGGACCCTTGTGCTTACTTAACTATATGTTGTGTTTAAGTTGTGAATAATATAACTCAATTCTAATGTGTCTTATGTTGTAGCTATGTTTTTTTTTTCCTCTTGTAAGTCCCATGTGTGTGTGGGTCGGGGCTGGAATGGGGGGGTGTTGTTCTTTAAATGGAAAATAATAAAAAATGAATCACAAAAAAATATATTAAGTACTATAAATACACAAAGTATTGATTTTATGTTTGTCATTGTTTTGCATTCATTAATATACCTCTCCATGAAGCAGCCTAGTATTATTTCCAATAAGTTAAATCAGGTGTACTGGTGATGGAACTGAACAAATCTGGAACAAAACCTCTGTTCTCCTAACTAGCTTGCAAGGTATCAAGTACTTTTTTTTTTTTATTCCTGTTACTCTTTCCTGCATTTTTTTAAAAACACCTTTTAAAATTAGAATAAATTCAAAGTAACACAAACTGTTGTACACAGTTTGCCTGGGTGCCTAAGGTTTTTGCACAGCATTGTATATCATTAAATTTTGGGCAGAATTAAAAGGAAATGCAGGGCAGACACTCACTTCAGCCATGTAAGTGACCATGTTGAGTGTGATGTCAGAGAAGGCCTCGTGCAGGTAGCGGCAGACCACGCTGACCCAGGAGAAGGGGTCTCTAGTGTAGGAGCGGGTTTTATAGAGAGTCATTACGTGAGCTAGATGAGAAAGCTTTGTGTTCTTCTCCTTCTCCTCCAGACACACCTGCAGCATAAGTCACAACATCACACACATATATTATTTTGAAAAAAAAAAGACATGGTCACCACAATAATATTGTTCTTCAGTCTTCCAACACTAGTTTCTGGACATGGACGTGGACTAAAGCCCAGTCTTGGACTAAACTGTAATGTCAGTAGAGATTTGCTACTGAAAATCCTTCTTAGTTAGCTGTCCCCCCATCAATGAAGCTTTAAAATCTACAGTTTTGATTAGAGAGCATGTTATGGGAGACCTGTGCTATCCGTTCTGCACTCTCCTTGCAGAACTGAGTTGGGGAGTCAAAGTGCTGCACCAGATGAGGAAGCAGACACAGCACATTCAGAGGGAAGCCTGAGTGAAGACCAAGCAGAGAAAAGGAAAGCAAAAAAAGGTAGAACACAAAGAAAATATGTTAAAAGTAAATCACATGCATCAGGCATCTCATTATACAAAACAATTCAGTTCTATTAGACACACATGCTGGAAACTGATTAAAAACCAGTAGCTTTACTCTGCCAATTTTTATGACTCCAGGTTGAATGACAATAACCATTACTACTCACACAATATTACACAAAAACATAAATATTTTTGAAGAGCATGAATGCTGTTTACCTATAGCTTGAGACGTGTCTACCACCGGCACTCTGGACACAGGCGTGAGCTGGCAGAAGAGCTGCAGAGTGAGGTCACTAGTGGCTGGCGAAGTGAAGCCCTTGAGCATCAGCTGCTGCAGGCCAGCAAAGCCACTCCACTTCAGCTGAGCCTGGAGTTTCTCTAGGCGCTCGCGGTTCTCCGGCATCTCCAGAGGAACCCTTGCCAGCAGCTTGTGCACCAGCCTCAGGGACATCTGATACTCAAACTCAAAATCTGACTCCATGAGTGAAACGGCCACCCAGAAGATGGTGGCCAGCAGGTTGGAGGGGTGGCTGGCATGGGATGGATCTGTGACGGCGCTGCTGTCGGCACGAGTGGAGGAAGAGGACGAAGCGCTGTGGGCTGAGCGAGCGAGAGCCTGTTGGGTGCAGGCCTGGATGCGGTCCAGAGTGGCGCTGCGTGGGGGGTCTGAGGACGAGCGCTCCCCGCTCTCACCAAACTTCTTGGGGACGGAGTAGCTTCGCTGGTGCCGGCTGCGCTCTGCAGTGCCGCCCTCCTGGAGAAGGTTGAGCTGGCCTGTGCTCTTGTGGTTGGAATTCAGTTTGCCGCTGACCAGGAAGTCTGGAGACGAGGCTCTGTGACCAGAGAAGTGGTTATGGATGTGTTTAAAAGTTTGGAATCATTCTAACATGCTAGTCCTACGTAACTTCACAATTTTCAAATAATTAGCAGGAAACTAGAAAGCTGTGACAAAAATCTATATCTATCTATAGTTTACAACAATTAAATCTACATTTTGTTCAACAAGTTATCATACATAATAAAAATCTGACAAGTGCTTCAAAACTTTTTGTTCCAATGTGCAAAATATGAACATCACACCAGTATAGTGCAAATTAAAGACAAGTATACCTCACAAAATCACAGAAGTGAGATTTAGCCACACTGAGAATCTAACCCTGAGGCCGGCACATGATGTCTGTGTGGTTTTTCATACCAAACATAGTTAAAATTCAGTGTTGCACAACCATTTTCCAACCTCTCATTATGAGGTTTTCTTCCAACAACAGCGATATGGAAATGTGTAGTATTTTACATATAAGGACTGTGGACTGGACTTTACCAAACCTTTAACAGTGTTTTAATACTATATCAAACTGTATTGTTGCCAAAAACTGAGGAAAATGAATTTTTCCATGATATGAGACCTTTAGCAATGGTCTAATGATCTATTGATATACGTTGTATTAGGTAGCACTAAAGCCTCACCGAGTCAATGCTGCCATCAGGTCACTGTTTTTGAGGCATTCAGCCAAATTATCCACCACTGACTCCAGAGTGAGCAACACCTCCATCACATAACCCTGAGGATGACAATCACATAAGACAAAAAAATAACTAAACTGCACTCACACGAAAATGAAAGCAGGCATATATTCACCTGCACAGATGTTTACAAACACACATACACAGATGTGCACATACCTGCACCTCATCGCCGTGCTCTCCCACCACCTCCACCAGCCGTGAGAGCAGGTCAGAGACGGCGTGAGCAGAAAGTGGCTGCCTGAGGGCTCTGAAGATCTGGAAGGAGCGTCCTGCGTAATGTCGGGATGAGCTGCACAGAGCTGTCTGAAGAGCCACATCACTTAACTGCTGCTCCAGGTGGAAGTCTGGAACAGATGGAGAAGTATGTTCGTTAGAAAGCATATTACAAATCACAATGACATTAATCCTAGATTAAATATAGAGTTAATCTCCAGTTGACACTCCTTTTTAGTCTAAGATGTTCTGACTACTTAATCCATTTGCGTGCCACCTTTCAGTTTCTCACTCTCATTATTTGTTTCATAGTACTGAATAATTAATTGTAGTTAAGGAATACTTTAACGGGTTATACCTGCATCAGGAAAACCACATTGTAATGTTGCAAGGAAAAGCACCCATAATTTTTTTGGGGGGTGAACCAACCAAAATGGCAAATGGAAATATGAGAGAAGAACATTTTAATCTGTGTATATTTAATTTGCATGTAATGCCCAGTTGTGAACAGTTCACATTTAGTGCACAATTAGTAATGAGTCAGATACTTCACAGGCAAATCTGAGCAGCTTTTAGACCCTACTGCCTTGGCCTATGGGTCAGAGTATGGGTGAGACAGGTACCTGACTTGGACTCTTTGAATACAGACACCACATGGCGCAGAAAGTTGGTGAGCTGATCGGCACTCTTGGAGTTGGGATTTTTCGGCGTGATGTCCTCGTGGCACCACAGTGGTCCAAAGGCCCTAAGTAACGACAGGACAGTACTCCAGGCACTGCGCCACCAAAGAACCACCACCAAGATCAAACAGGGTTAACGGTACTGCTAGCAGATGATCCTGCCAATAACGCAATTCTAAATGCTGGCCTACAGCATACACTCGCACTGCAGACGTGATGAATCTGCACCTCATACTATATTTCTACATTAGGTGACTCCAGAGTAAGCAACTTGATTTCTGCCTTAGGTTCATTAGAGCTGAGGTTACACTACAAGACTTTTACCCTGATTTTAGCCCCGATTCTCAATCTGGCTGAGTCTGAGCTGGTCGGCTCTAGTTGGCAGATTTTTGGGTCAGTCGGAGTCGACAGTTGGAGAGAGGGGCGCAGATTTTTCCGACTCTGAATGTAATCTAGTGTAAACTGATCAATGACTCAATCTGAATGCATTCCTGCAACAGCCAATAAAACTAAGAGCATGAAACAAGTAAATACAGCAAATAAACAAAGAAAAATGCCAAAAAGTCTCTCACGTGTGGAGTGAGTTCAGGGCACGAGCACAATCGAGTTTATGTACATTTAAAACTCTAAAAATACCAAACTGATCACACTGATCACTGCTTCTTTACTGTCTTAGCACAAACGGCAGAGAAAACAGCAGCAGCAACTCCACGTTTGTTTATTTGGGTCTGCTATTAACAGGAGACCGCGAGAGTTTGCGTACGTTCGCGCAAGTTCTGTTCAGTTCGGCAGCAGCTTAAAGTTGAGTAGTGTGTGATCCCTAATATTTCAGTCACCTCAAAAAATCTGCAAATCCAGTCTGATAGTGTGAGATTGCCAGTCTTTTTATAATCTGCTCAGACTCAGTCGTGTAGTGAACCCAAGGCTTAGGGAGTACCATCATTAGGACTTGCACCACAAAACTAGTATAAGCTCACTCATAGGTGAGGAGAACAGTGATAAGAGTGCACACTGAGCTACTTATGGGCTGCCATACTGATCTTTTCCATTTCAAAATTATCTTCCTTTACATAACAGATCAGTGGTCATCCTTGATCCTAGACAGCTACCTTCCAGCAGAGTTTAGTTCCAACCTATACCCAGTAAGTTGCCCACCACTTTCTTAACAATAATACATCTGATCCAGCCAAGCAGGGAAGAGGTTGATTAGCTGGAGCAGGTGTGGTAAACTGGGGTTGGAACTAGGCTCTGCAGGAAGTTAGCTCTCCAGGACCAGGGCTGGAAACCACTCCTGTAATAATACTTTGACCAGACCAGTGAAGTGACTGTGGACGGATGGGTGATTATTTCATTGTTATGTCTTATACCTGGTGGTGAGGAACTCAATGAGTTTGTTGGTCTTCTCCTCAGACTCATTGGAAGACTCCTCCAGGTCCTCCAGATCTGCGGTGATCTGAGGGAGGTTTCCCACGCTGCCGCCCAGACTCACACTGGAGGAGGTGGAGGAGGAGCTAAGGCCTGAGTCTGCCACAGGAGATGCCTGCCACTCCCGAAGGAAATCCAGCCCACCTGCATAAAGAGAAGAGCGTAGGAGGACCGTTAAAGTGCCATACAGGATATGACAGACAAACAGAGGACAAACTAATCCTTATGATGTTTGTTACAAACTTCAGACTGCTGGAACACAGTGGATAGGTCATGTTGTTTGCTGCAATAAGAGACAACAGCAACTGCTTGATTCGGTTTCATGTCAAAATTCAACCAGAGGGCAAATAAAATAATGTTGCATTTGCACCATATGAAAAGTGATGTTAGGTGTGCAACATATTAGTGTTTCAATTAATTTACTGACATCCTATAGTGTTATAATGAAGCCCTACTATATGCATGTGACTGTCTGTGTGGACCTGCGCAAATCTTCCCCTAAAATACTTATGTAACACCTACCCAGTTGTTCGAGACACATGAGGAAAGAGGTGTAAGAATTACACTGAAAAGACTGAACCTTTCAGCATGAGTCAGTATGTCTCATTCTAATTAACACTGTAAACAGACAAAGGAAGACCTGGAAATGTGTAATTAAAACATGGTTAAACTTGACATGGAATGGCATGTTGGATAGCAGCCAGAAACTGATAACCCGACCTGGTATGACAACTTATCCTGCTCTCTTTCTTTTTCTCTGAAACACACCTCTCTCCCCACCTCTCTCTTGTCGTTTTTCACTGTGAGGCTGCACAGACAGCTGTTTGACATAGTTTGAAGTTCACCTGTCGAACCCCTGTCACATTCTCTAAGTTGGTGGTTACTAAATTGTTTTCGGACAGACTTGCTCTGTTTGTTTTTCCATCTGTAGATAAGACATCGCTCAGGTTTTGACATCATAAATATCACCTCCACTCCTGGCTGTGTATCACCCCATCAGAATATCTTAACATCTGATAGCATCAGCTGTGCATCTGTAGGTGTTTTGGAAATGTTTTCGCTGCAGCCATGACAATGCACTGGGCCATAACTAAAATTATGCAGAAGTTATTGTAGGCATCAGGGTCAGGTTTCAATCTACATGTGTGAGAAGATGAAACTGTTGTGATTCAAAATAAATGGGAATGATTGCTACTGTGGTAGCATGGTCTGTATTTGCACATTCCTCTGGGGAAAAATCTTGACATTTCATAATGATTCTATTGTTATGGTGCTCTATTGGGCTTTTCACAACAATTCTATACTTCAGTTTGTAGTTTTTGATTTCTCTACCTGTGTGCAAGTACTCAGGCTGGAAGCTGGACTTGACAGTAAGAGTCTTGTTGTCGCTGATCTCTCTGGTGAGCAGCAGCACAGATGCAATGACCTGGAAGTTGTTGTTGCAGGACAGGGCGATGAGCAGGTGCAGGAGCAGCCGCTTGCTGTGCTCAAACACCTCTGGCCGGTAGTGGTCCAGACCTGAGCACAACAACACACAGTGAAGTCAATGACCAGCGTTACAGTGACGTAAGAGACAATGAAACAGCATGAAAAAGGAGGAAGAGATCTGAACTGAATCACACAAACTGACCGCAGTGAACACAACTGGCTAATTTTCCCCCGATTTCTCTGCTTTATTACGTAAGACTTAATCCTAGTGAATGCAGATGAGAAATTTTCATACATTCTTTCATATGTATATCTGAGCATGCCTGCAATAGCTTTGGCTGCAGATAAAATACAAAAGAACAGTTCCAAACAAAGCTGTCAAAGCGACAGAGAATGAGGACAGCAGGTGATGACGACACAAAGAGTCTGAGAGAGATAAGCCAGGGGTGGAAGGAATTTCTCTCCCCTCCCTGCTGTCGTCCCCTTTCTTCCATCCGTAGAATTTTTTACATTTTTAGCATAGCTGGGCCATGTTATTCAGCTTGCCTGAAAGCCTCAATTACAGCTGGGAACGTGGTCACTAGAGCACAAACAGGACTTTCCCATGGAGGATGCCATTGATAACACACACAAATACACATAGAAAAACAGTATGTCTATTACAGTCGGTCATATAAATAGTCAAGTAATACACCAATTAGTTTGACAATTGAATGAAATTTAAATATATACACACACAGCGATCTTTGTTTCTACGCTCATTGTCCATTTTATCAGCTCCACTTACTATATAGGTGCACTTTGTAGTTCTACAGTTACAGACTGTAGTCCATCTGTTTCTCTGATACTTTGTTAGCCCCCTTTTACCCTGTGCTTCAGTGGCCAGGACCCCCATGGACCCTCACAGAGCAGGTACTATTTGGGTGGTGGGTCATTCTCAGCACTGCAGTAATACTGACGTGGTGGTGGTGTGTTAGTGTGTGTTGTGCTGGTCTGAGTGGATCAGACACAGCAGTGCTGCTGGAGTTTTTAAACACCTCGGTGTCACTGCTGGACTGAGAATAGTCCACCAACCAAAAACATCCAGCCAACAGCGTCCTGTGGGCAGTGTCCTGTGACCACTGATGAAGGACTAGAGGATGACCAACACAAACTGTGCAGCAGATGAGCTATCGTCTCTGACTTTATATCTACAATGTGGACTGACAAGGTAGGAGTGTCTAATAGAGTGGACTTTAAAACTCCAGCAGCACTGCTGTGTCTGATCCACTCGTACCAGCACAACACACACTAACATACCACCACCACGTCAGTGTTACTGCAGTGCTGAGAATGATCCACCACCCAAATAGTACCTGCTCTGTGAGTGTCTATGGGGGTCCTGACCAACAGATGGACTACAGTCTGTAACTGTAGAACTACAAAGTGCACCTATATAGTAAGTGGAGCTGATAAAATGGACAATGAGCATTGAAACAAGGAGGTGATCATAATGTTATGCCTGATCGGTGTATATATATATATATATATATATATATATATATATATATATATGTATCTTGCTGCCGTGAGAAGGAAACCTCGTATCTCCATTTCTGTCGTTTTTTTTTAGCTTTTGACTTAATGTGGAAGTGTCTGGTTGCAAATATTGAGCTCTACAGCTTACTGTAATTTAAAATACACATTCTCATCATACAACATTGAACAATTCATTACTGATTTATCGAGAAAATTTTAATCAACGATTTAATTAAAATAGTCATTACAGCCCTAATAAACACATCCACACAATATGCGCACAGGTATTACAATTTAGGTTGTCCAACTGTTGCTGTACCCATATGTTACAGTTTCCCACTTAGGTATAGAAGACAGTACAAAGTAATGGAAGAAAGATAAAAAGAAAAGAGAAATACAAAGAAGTAAATAACAGTGTGATTTGGTGTTACCGAGGAAAAGGGCATGCAGCAGAAGAGGCAGATGCAGGGCCCAGTCCTCTCGCACACTGTGGTCCACCACCATCTCCGTCATGAAGATCACTGCAATGTTACACCTGTCAGTGTGGAACAACACACACCTTAGTCCATGTAGTACAGTCAGATCCCCTTTCACAGCTTCATAGCTCTGATTTTGTATTATTCTAAGCTAATTCTTTACGAGGTCTGCAATGGCTACCATTGTATAGTCTGCAATACTTGTTTCTGAAAACAATACAGTTTTATACATAAATTTTAAAAGACAGGGCAAAAAGTAGTGGAAGGGCAGATTTGTTGTCCTAACTTCGAGGTGTGGTCACACTGGTTAATATGTCAAGTTTCAGGGATTTTCAAGGGAACATTTTCTTCTGATATGGAGACGAAAAGGAACTAACAGGAATGCAAATTAAACTTGAATACATAATGAATACATGCAACTCCTGCAACATTTTATATATAAACCTATTCATTTACACTTCCTGGATATATGATTTAGACTCTGGTCATCTTCGGCAGTTGCACTGAAAAGAAGTCACTGTGGGTGAGCCTTTTAAGTCACTTATGTGAGAGCTTACAGGGTCTTTCGATTTTATTTGCAGGAATATTAATAGCTAATATCTAATAGCTATTCTATTAACTGTATTACTTATGATTCTTGTGGCATACAGGTCAAGAGAAGCAGCAAAAGAATGCTCATTTAAGTGCTAATTCTGTGCAAAGGCAATGCAGCATTGCTGGCAAAAAAAAGAACATTTCTGTTAGGATTTAGCTTTTACAGTCAAGTTTACAGTTTCAGCGTGAGAAAAATGTTGCGGTATTTTCTGCAGGATTCAGAAACGAAAGAGCTGGTGGCCACACATTACTAAAATGCCGTTTAAAGGCCGCAAGCGTTAAGGAAGTAAAGCCTGAAGTAAAGCCTGAACATCCCGAGGACAGATCAGGTTTGGGACTTCAATTTTAATGCCTGGGCAGACTTCTACCTTGAATACACAAGTCCTCACCAATTAGCAGTTGAAATGATGCTACACTAATAAGGAATATTAGAAGCTTGTATGTGATTTAAATGTGTTTTGACTCTGAATAACGCAGTGTGTCAGGGTGCATATATTTAGCAGCTATGCTTTATGTTATTCCATTCGGCCAGAGTGTTCATAACAAAGGCATCTTGGCAAAGGGTGTGACATTTTTCCTCTCTCAGGTGTCACCGTGAGTCTGTCCAGATCTGATTAGCCTGACAAAAGTTCATAAACAGACACATGTACACATTTACACATTCACAGACAAAGTCCTGGGTCCTGACTAAGTGCCACACACCACTCATTCTTTTAAAATTGTACCTCCGTCATAAAAAAAAACAAAAAAACAAACAGACTGTCACGACGCTACTGCAAAGGATCACTGTCGTCTTAGCAACAGAACAACAGCGCTCCATTGGTACACAAACAGAGGTAAAACACAGGGGCTTATTGCCATAATATGGTTTATAAGACTGAAAGAAAAGGGTTCGTACACACAATCTGAACAAAAGGCACTTTATATTAAGAGCTTACACAAGATGACTGTGTGAATGTGAGCAAGTTTACGTCTGTGTAAATATTAATATGTGTCCTAATGTTTATAACATAGCAATAAAACAATAAATGTGGCGTTTCAAACATCATCTGACAATTTATAAAAGTTTTCCAAATAAATGTGTCCTGGACTTAACATCAGTCTCAAACAATGCTTAGGACTTGGTGTTCAAGGCTAACACAAACAGAGTGTTCCAACAATCAGAGAGTAAACAAGCTTCCCTATAGCAACAGGAGTTACCTGTGGAGGGGCCCTCGTGGTGTGATGGTCTCAGGCAGGTAGTCCACTAGTGGAGCCCAGCAGCCTCCGTTAACTGGCATGGGCAAAGGCTGGGGTCGATTACTCTCCAACACATTGAGCAGCCAGCCAGCGTACGGTGGGAGAGGGTCATCTGCCGACACAGTCACAGCAAACTGTTTATATCATATATCAATAATAAATAATAATAAATCATAACATTTATTTTAGGACTGTCAAACGATTAAAATACGATTAAAATAATTTAGTAAATCACATTATTTTGTGTAGTTAATCTTGATTAATCGCATTCGTCTTATTTGAAATGACCCTAAAGAAAGATTTTTTTTGAAAATCAGTGCATTTTGTTATAGGTACACGAGTGAGCAAAATAATCTTCATTAGAATTTATTACTTTTAACAATCATGCCATTATTTTCATCACCTGATCACAGGGTTAACATGAACCTGAACTCAGCGTTCATAGAATAAACATATTTGCCAGTGACGTCTGAAGATTTCTGTGTTTTCCCTTTTCCCCAGCACACCTGATACAACTCTTCAGCTCTTTAACAAGCTTGTTTTCTTGAGTTGGACTGAGTGCGTTAGATTGATTCAAAAATAATTTCATAGCTGCCTCCAAAACGTCTTCATTAGAATATACCGTCACTGTCATAACAAAACCTTGTATCTTCAAAATGGTAACTTTATAGGAGAAGGAAAAAAATGTTCTTAAGTTCTTAAGGAGGTTAATGGAACTTGATTGTTTTTCCAATTAATTTTTGGTGCATTTCTATTGGTCCATTCATCATGAAATGCGGTCAACAAAAATGGAGATGATATACAAAATCATCCTGGACACTGGTTCTTGTTTATACTTTTCTAGATGTTTGACTGGATCAGGAACAGAGTATTCCAACAGTAAAACAGGAGGATGGTCTGCGCCTCTTCACTTGACCATCCAGTATGACGCAAGTCTGATGCATGTGCATCATGCCACCAGCAGCATATCATTAATCTTCACTGTGGGCTCATGTGCTGTGCCACTCTCTTTGAGCAGTCATGCCAGGTATGCAGGTCAAGCTCTCACAGTTCCCACACCCAAGTTGCTCTCTCACAGACACACACATAAACACTGGCCTGTGCCGGTAACAGAATGTTCTTTTTTGGATAAACGTGTGGAAAATAAGCTCAGTAAATGGTTAAGCCAAGACTTCAGAGAATGGGGGTATTATTTTATTTAGTTTTTTTCACAAAACACACATTTTCTTTCTGTGATTTTGTGACAGACTAAAACTAAAGTAGAGGTGGAAGAAATTTACCATCCACCCAGGGGGTTTGTGGCTGCTTAGCCAGACACCTTTAGTCAACCACCTGATGTCAAATAGTGCAAGAGCCGATACATGATGTTTTTCTTGAGACAAAAAGCCTTTCGTCCGAAACCTGACGCTGTGATCCGAGTATGTCAAAAACATATCGTCACTGTCCAACAAAAAACGTATCTCCATTTTTGTCCATTTTCTACATCATTTCAACTCACCAGCTGTCTTTTACGTTGTATGAAAATTTCATGATGAATGCACCAATAGAAATGCTCTAAAATTGCTTGGAATAAAAGCTCTTTACATTAACTTACATTGAAAGATAAGGGTGTTTTTGCCTTCTCCTGTAAAGCTGCTATTTTGGAGATACTTGTTTTTCTTTAGACAGCGAAGATATAAAACTGTACTTTCTGTACAGGCATGATACCTGCCTGCAGCTCAGAGCATGTTAAACCGACACATTTCTAGAACAACTTCATCAATGCAGTGGTACTTAAAAGTCTGTGAACCCTTTAGAACTTTCAATATTTTTAATACTGACCTAAAACTTAATCAGATTTTCACACGTCATGAACCAAAAGAACCAAATTAAACAAATGACACAAAAATATTAGACTCAATAAATAGATGACCGAGTCTAATATGTTTGTCTCATTTGTCTGAAATATAGAAAATGCTAAAGGGTTCACAAACTTTCAAGCACCACTGTAGGTCCAATAAAAGAGGGAGAGTAGGACACTGCTTCATATTTCTTACCAATATCCAGACAGCAATGTAAAATGAGATTACTTGCTATAAATTTAAATTCCACACCTGTTTTTTGGCCCAAAAGACCAGCATATCCACTTTTTCTAGCTTGAGTCTTGAATGCTGAAAGGAATGTGTCAGACAGCTTAGCTTCTGACTGGTCTAACTCATCTGCAGGCAGTTCATAAGCCCTTAACTGTTTCAATATCCCCACCTTAAACTTGTTAAGGCAATGCTGTTACTAATGTGGGCTATTGCAGCTCTTGCGATTTGAAACTGCTCTCTTTCAAACAGCACTTTCAATAAAAAAATTTAATGTCTTTCAGCCACATACAACATGCCAAAAAGTTCAGGTATGCTGACATGTGGGAATACAAGTGTCTTCCTATGGTTTGCATGGAAGAACTGAGGGTAAGGGAGTTTTTACTGTCACAGGGGGCTGCTACTGCAGTACCTCGGGTAACCGTCACTGTGTACAGGCCTACACATACACGCTTTAACTTCTGTTCGGCACTGCTGCCATGGTAACGCTGAATGATGGTCACGCGCAGTGGAAAAAAAGCACATGAATTCCGATCTGAGCATCTCATTAAGGTCACATAGCCATTAATAGGATACATATCCGATCTAGGACCACATATGAAAGTGACTCAGGTCGGATTAAAATAAGATTTGTGCCACTTCAACCTGGTAATGTGAACGTAGCTATACAGACATAAGGGGACATGTACACACATGAGCTACACACAGTTCTCTGCACACACTTCTCTGTACTTAAATGCGTGTTTCATAGACAACATGGCTTCAAAAAGACATGCTTGAATAATAGATTAGGTTAAATTAGTCAAGTTTGATAATGTACTGTTCAAAGCATTACTAAAAAACCAAGTGGTTTAAACTAATGCTGCATTCACATGTTCACATGCATAAAGCTAACCCCTGCCAGTAAAAACACATGACAATCACAGAAGAGCTTTAGCAGTGTAGATTGATTATTTAAGGTGGAAAAAGGCAGAAGGACACTCTGTACTCTTGTATTTTTGTTGTATATTATTGGGTTAATCTCAAATTCAACAACAAGACATTTGGCATCCATGGCTCCCGCAAAAATCAACACCCAGTTTATTTCACCAGTGCGGTCAATGGCAAAAGCTGGGAAAACTGAACTCTTGTTGAAATGTTCCACTTTCCACTGCAGACACTGGCAGAGTTTTCTGTTGCAGCTTCACTGAAAACAATGGGATATCCAGTTTGCCGTTGTTCTTCTAACGCAAACATGTGAATGCAGCATAACAAGCACCTTGACAGTTATCAGCAGTACAAAGATAACTACTTTGTACTACCAGAATCTCGGTTTTTAAGCACATTCCCTTCTCTCCTCTATCTTACATAACAGAACATTACTGTCAAACACAAAGAAATGTTAAAAGCCCATCACTCTGAAGTAATTTGAAGAATTCTATCAGTGTCAATTGCCTGGAGTGGCTAACTTGACTGGGAGTAGCAGTATTATGCAACATTCTGCCCCCCCATCACCCTCTAGAAGTCAAGGGTCAGTGATAAAAATGTACTCACTTTTCTCCTCATCGTAAGAGCCTCCAGAGCTGTTGCTGTAACGTGACTCTAACCGGTTATGAGCTCGAGCAGCATTACTTAACCTAGACAAACACATAAACACATACACGTCAGTTCAGCACATACAGTACTGTGTAAAATTTTAAGGCACCTGAGAAAATGAAATTTAAAAGGATATTTACTTGTGTAGTAAGCATCTAATTAATACTAAGTTAAATCAGGCAAGCTGGGGATAGAATTAAACAAATCCATGTGACGGCTGGGGGCACTGAGGAGCAATCTGGAACCAAACCTTCTACAAAGCTTACAATATAATTTTGAAAACATAAATAAAAGTTACTTTTTACTGAGTCTGTGTTTATTTTTTGTGTATTTCAAAGTTACACAGTGTTTTTATTAGCACTTACTGAGAAGATAAATAGTTTTAAACGATTTGCTTAGATACCTAAGACTAAGTTTGCAAACGACATGCTAAAACGCACAAAAATACATTTCAAAGGCCGAAGTGACGTAAAGGCAGGACAGTTAATTTAAATTTGATACCTTTCTTCGTTCTCTCTGACTATCTTTGCCTCATCCGTCTCCTGGAAGTTCTCTTGGCCCGCCACTACAGTGTTGCTGCTGGACGTTGTGCCTTCATAAAACGAACAAAGAAAAAATGAGACTAAAACACACAAAAGACAGAAAAACACCGTTTAATGTAGGAAGATAGTCTTATTTGCTTGCCAAAAAATATAACTGTAATAAGTTAAAGTGCTCTAATAATCTATGTGAATATGTCACCTGAGGCCACAGCTGAGATCTTGCTGCTGGCAGCAAAGCGGTAGAATGGCGGGTTGTCACAGTGCAGCACTACAGGGTTGACTGGGTCAGTCTGCTGCAGTTCGAACAGCAGCTCCTCCATGGTCTGAATCGTGTTGTTCCGACACAGGTAGATTACCACCTTCTTAATCTGGAAGCAGAGAAAAAACACACATATGCCTTTGACTAAACAACACATTTCAATGTGTAATTCATCTGAACTTTATTTGTGGTCCCTGGTGCTTACAGTTTTATCTCAGATAGGCCTAAACTATGGGCATGTGTCAAATAACACCCCCCTGCCCCCAGAGAAAACAAGAACATTCTGGTGATGCAAGAGGGCTTTGCTATTGCTAAAATGTGGAAAAGCGCAAAATTGTAAGTACAGCAGCAGCTACATCGATATATAAGCCCTCCATAAAGACAGTACTACTGTATGTGCGCATGTGTCCTTACATAAGGCAGTAGTGTGGTGTCACTGCTGACCCCACACAGACTGATGAGGAACTGCAGTGTGATTCGCAGATTGTTGCTCCATTTGTCGTTGGTCACAAGAGCATTCCAAGCATTCTCCATCTCTGGGCCCGGAAGCTCATCACCATACTGAGGAAAAAAACATACCACACACTGTCATAAAAACCAGTTTAAGCTGATCAGTTAAATTCAGAGTTACTTGTTTTTCTTCACATTTTACAGTCATTTTAAACTTGTTACAGAAATTAGTAGTAATATCAGTTTAAGTAAGGCAATATTTACTGTAGCTTTCATAAAACATGGATGGACTGAAAACAAAAGACAATGAACTGCACTTCCAGATGTAACAGTAGTCATACTACTAGTTATAAAGCAGAGTGGTCAGTCTGTTGAATTGTACCTTGGCGGTCATGTACATCAGATTGTTCAGAACCAGAGAGGTGGCCTGCAGGGAGCCCCAGCCGTTGCCCTTGAGCCGGTTGGGCAGGCCCATGCCGTCTGTCTGTTCTCGGGTCTCCTCCTCAGGGGTACAGGGGCTGGAAGCTGGGGGTAACAGTCCTGTGTCCACCAGCTCGATGTTGTTCAGCCACGGCAGGAGGTAGGTCAGCATGATCTGCCTGCCATTGGGGTGGGTGGTGGGGAACCTTTGGCTGACCTCTGTGTGTGGAAAAAAGTAAGGATGGGTAAAGGTTGTTATAGTGCAGTGGGTAAGACCTCTGCCTTCTATGCTGTACACTGGGGTTCAATCCCCACCTGGGTAGCACCCTACACTATACCTTGGGCAAGACTCCTAACACTACCTTCGCCTACCTGTGTAAAATGATCAAATTGTAAGTTGCTCTGGATAAGAGCGTCTGCCAAATGCCGTAAATGTAAAGAGAATGAGGGCCACTTCCTACAGTAGAGTGAAGAGGAGTGCAGTGAGCTTCAATCTCCTTCTGGTTTGCTGACTTATCACCACTATTGCTCATGAGCCCTCTACTGTACAACATGGACAATTTTAGTTGTAGGTTACACCTACATGGGCATACACTCATAAAGAAACAGATAAAATGTACCTGAGAAGAGGGGTAGGGTGAGCTCTGGGTACATGCAGGCAAGCTGGTTGGAGAGCTGTGAGAGGGAGACACTGTAGAGGGGAGGCAGTGGACCATGAGTGCCGTACAGGATATTTCCCGACTTCTGCCCCACAATCCTTTTAGAGTACACTGATAGTTTTGCTTCCAGAACCTGTAAACACCCAGCAAGAAGGAAAAATGTCACAAAAATGAATTATACAAAAAAATTATCTAAGAAAGCTGGTTATGACCACCTGCATCTTAATCTAATATCTAATTAGATTAATTAATCCTAATCTAAAATTCATTATGACATGATACATTAATATGCAATACTTTGAATATACTGTAAGATTATAAAAGATGGTAAGAAATTGTCTCATACCTGCATGAGCTGCATAGAGATCTCATAGATCTCTCTGCTGGTGTCAGATGATTTAAAGAGCACCAGGTTCAGCAGGGTCACAATGTCACATGGATAGTTTCTGAACAAAAACAAACAAAAAAAACTTGTGTGCTTTTGCATTGTAGTAATGCTCTAATTATGCATTCTGGGAACTACATATTAGTAATCAGTTTTGGCTTTCATAATCCACATGATTACACCCACATCAGGATTATAAAGAAGCGAAATCATATCAGGGCCTGTATTTGTCAGGCTTCTCAGAATACTGATCTAGGCTCAGATTTTGTTTTTGTACAAAATGATCTTATGGACAGGTACAGATCCTAGATTAGCACTCCATCTTCATGAATACAGACCCATATCTGATGCTCCTACCTGCTCCCACACACTGTAGCAATGGCTTTGAAGCAGCCTGAGGCCAGCTGGTAGGAACCGGTGAAGCAGCGATCCACTGCCCAGTTAAATAGATTCACTTGTTCTGGGTTCAGTTCAAGCAGCAGGATTACCACCTCACAGCCCAGCCGATGCACCTGGGATGACGCAATCAATTATACAGTGAAAATTAGGACTATAGTGATTCAGACAGCATGAAACAACTAGAAACATAACAATCGCTACTTCTGATAAAATGTAGCCCTGCTGCAATGGAAATGACAGTCTGCTATGTTACTACAATGAGATGAGTCTTACTCGCAAATCGTGGCATCCAAGGATATTGTCCAGCCATTTGTAGAGATAGCCATCAGTAGAGAGACCCACATTGTCAAAGACAGGCCCGCAACACAACACTGCTGACATAGCCTGGAGGGCAAACACACAAACAAGCATAAACACAAACGTTCTCTTCAATACACAAGTCCTGTCAACAACGTTGTGATGATGTGTCAGAAAAAATGAGGGAATGTTTTTGCAAGAGAATCCAGAGACTATATTACATTGTCAGTCCCGGTAAAGTGAATGTAGAATGTGCAAGAGTCGCAACAGCAATAAGAAGCAAGAGCAAAAAGCTGCACAAATCCAGTGCTCCTTGTGAATGTACTACAGATGTACAAACACAGAAAACGTGTGCCACACCTTTTACACAAATAATCACATCAGAGGCCTTGATGTTCAGAAAAAAAGGAAAACAGCCTGGGGAATTTCCAAACAGACAGTGTTCTACTTGGCAATTCAACCATACAGGCTCTTCCAGCAACCAATTTCATATCTTTTCACATGATTAGGCACTGTAAAATGAACCCAGCCATCAAACTGTCTTGGACATTTTGATATCATTTTTTGTTTCCAGTCAATTAAGTGTGAAAGGTAAATTTAATCTTGACAGAATTCCCAGTGACTTTCTCTTGGCTGTTTGTTGAGTTAACCCTTACACTGAAATATATTTATATAATATAGTCATAAAATATATAATATAGACTTTATTGACCAAACATGTTCATCTACAAAATATTGCATCCCCATTCTAGCACTCACAAAGGCCTGAATGAGAAAACACTACAAAAAAGAAAAATGTCTACACTCTGCAGGCATAAAAGACTGTAAAACAGGTTATACTGGTCACAAAATTAAAGAGTGTCACAGTTTTTTCAGCCCTCTGCTAAGAAGCTTTTTGCACCCATAAATCAATTACAGTACGAGCCCTTAAAGGGCAGTACTCTCTACTACATCACCTAATTGTACCTCAAGCCGAGAAGCTCTGGTGTGATTTACTAGCACCTTTAAAGCACATCAATGGATGTGATTTGGTAGCTTGATGTAATTTGAGCATCTAGTGCTTCCTAGGATTTGGTAGCTTTCTGTACCTTTAAAGCACAATACTGGTAGCGTGTAATCTGGTGGTTGCGGTCACTGTAGCGGTCCAGAGGCGTAAACATGACACTGAAGGGGCCAGCCCACTGGCTGAAGAGGATGAAGAGGTGATGGCGCAGACTTTGCTGAGGGAAGAGGAATCTCCTGTGGTGCACTAGTCAGAGAAAGAGAAGACAACTTATTCTCACTGAGGACAAGCATAGTCACAAATGGGTGGGGAGTATGGGTTTACGTGACAGAATGATATTTGTGTTATTTACTTTGTGTTTTGAATTGTTTTAGTGGCCAACCGCTAGTTCTGTTATGTCAGCTAAAAGATGCCTATGCTGAGCGATGGGGGGAGAACGAGGGCCGTTCTACACACCCAGAGAGAGCGAGGTCAACTGTACTCTCTTGGACTCCCGGCCATGGATGGCTGTCAGATCACTGGGGATCGAACGTGCGATCTCCTGATGACAGGGCCAATACTCACACGGTTGTGCCCCTTGGGAGCCAAAACTGTAAAATATTAATATTTCCTGCTTCTAATACATGGACGTCTGCATTTCGTCTCAGTGATAATATCAGTTATGATGAAGTTGTAGTACAGGGGTCGCAACCCAATGTTAAGAAGAGCCATTTTGTCCTTCAAAAATCAAACCACCTTGGGAGCCACAACATTTTATGTCCATTTTACTATCTTGGCTGTAAATATGTCTCAGTATGTGCTAATGTACTAGTATAGTACATTATACTAAAAATATACTACAAACCAAAACGCAGACTTATTTTGCTCTGCTTTAAGCTTTAGCTCAGCTATAGTCACTTTTCTCACATCTCTGGCAGGAAACTTTTCTACAAAAATAGAATAGTTTATTGTAAAATGTCTCTCGACGTTCGACTTTTTATGAGGTTGAAGTCAGCTTCTCACCAGAAGTCTCGCTCCACCTTAAATGGTGCCTGCTGCTGCTGAAAATTCGCACAGAGCTGGCGAACGAGAAGCCGACTTCAGTCTCGTGACTTTTTAGTGTTTGTCAGTTTCTCGTTGCAGATTAAACATATCAGGAAACCAGCTGGAGTGATTATAAATGTAAATAAGTCCATTCGTCTCCAAATCACTGATGTTCGTCTTAAATCGTTCTCTGTGCTTTTTCATTAGCTACTAGCTAGGCGAAATTATTGTCTGCGTTGCTATGGTGACCAGCAGTCTGCGCTGATCTTCAGGGTTAAAGGGTGAATTAGCAGTTCTACATTAACTCCAGCGTTTAAGACCATTTATTGTTAAACTGTGTTGAACGATCAGCAGAGCTTTACTTTACTGTAAAGGAGGATTATTTTATTTTTACCCACAAATCAAATTCTGCTGCGGAGCCTCAACAGGGCAGCAAAAGAGCCACATGTTGCCGACCCCTGGTGTAGTAAATAAGCACTGGTACTTAACCAGTGGAGCAGATCCCAAGGAGACAACTGAAGGACTAAAGATAATTGCAATGATTACACTACTAAAAGGATACTACTGTTTGGGAGCAGAAAAAACAGAAAAAGAGATGGTCACTCTGGATACCTGGGACACACTGGATGAGGTTGGCCACCATGCCACTGAAATGGGCTCGGATGTCCTTCAAAATCTCCAGCTCTTTATCATTCTCAGCCTCCAGCAGCATGCGCGTCAGGTCCACGTACTCCAGAAAGAGAGCTCCAAGAGCCAAAGAATCTCTCTCTAACGCCCCATTAGTGCTGCAGGCAGCGTGAGAGGAAGAGTGAGGGACAAATAAAGGTGATGAAGAGTTATTTATGCCTGTCAGTTTCTAATTATTCAGATTCATATTCTTTGACTATGCAGCCTAACGAGTATAATTCACTCTCGGTTTCAGCTCTTATCTAGCATGGTTGGTCACAACATTAAAACATCACATTACAGCAATACAGCAAACACAATGTAATACAATGCAATACAATACAAAAATGAATATAACCAATTAAATGGCCCATATCCTACATTTTTCTTGTATTTAATTTTTTCCCTTGAGGTCTCCATTTAGAACGTCTATGTACCAAAAAATATATATATATATATTCATGGATCTACGCAGATACAGGATTACAGACACTTGTATATGTTCCACATTTTACATCATAACCAGAACTAAAACAATATTAAAGAAGGGGAAAAAAACTTACACAAATATATTTTCAAACACTAATGACTAGGTCAGGAAGTAATTTGACTAATTTGACCTAATTTGACTATTAATTAGGTAGAAAAAAATATATACAGACCATATATAGACCATATGAACTGAGTAGCAAATGATACGTTTTGAAACTTTATGCTAATTTTAAAAAAGTGAGGGAATTCTGGTTTTCTATGATATGGGCTCTTTTTGGTCACATTTGTGGCTAATATGTTACTGAGGCTGTACTTTCTTCCAGATATTATATAAGGGTCCCCTAACTGGACCATAATGAAAAGGACTGGTTGCAGTAAGTGAGTGCAGACTGTACGCACAGTGAACCATATGACAGCTGCAAGTGTCCAGCATGTGTGACCCACCTGTCACTGATGACCCCTGAGTCAGCCAGCAGCTCAAAGATACGCAGCAACTGCAGCCTCAGCAGATCCCTCCTCTCTCTACGTTTCTTATTCTGCAGAGATCGAGAATGAGTTTCTATCAGTTATTATGCACATAGGCAATCCCACCATGTTGGAAGATATTCAAAACATGGCATGTTAGTACAACAAATTCAAAGAGGCCAACTGTGCGCTCACTCACCTCTGGTCTTCGCTCTAAAGCTTCTTTCATGAGTGGATGAAGCTCCTCTACTAGCTCCCTGAACACACACACACAGCAATGAGATACCAAAGCACAACACATTAAATAAGCATAACCTAAATATTTATTTGATACAAATTCTTTAAAAACTCAAAATGACCCATCTAGATCATTCTAACTGAACTTCATGTCTTTACATACCTTGCATGTTTTCAATTCCTACCTGACAAAAGAGAAGTTCTGACAGAAAACAAACTATGCATTCATTAACTTGCTCTGATATGTAACCTTTAGAATTCATGCCTACAATTTCAAGCACTCTCCTAATTAAATAGGTTTACATCTATGGAGCATTTGTGCAAGGAAAACATGCCTTTGGTGTCACAGTTAATTATATTCACTTCAAGGGACTGACCCAAACAAGCATTATGACAGAGGTATGACAGCTATCTGTGCTATGAGTACAAAGACGATGTAGAAGAAAAATGTCTGAACACATGCTGTACAAGCAGTTTGTCCACATAAGACTTACAAGGGACATGTTTTTCAAGTGATTTAGCAAGTTGTAACACAAAGCCCCTAAGGTTGCTTGAACAGTTTACCAATGTCTAGATAGATTTAAGGGACTAATCCTTAATGAACCATCTATCACACAGTCCACAGTCTCTGTGTTTTAGATATCATGCCCTCAACGTTCTTACTAAGTCATTTAACTTAGACAGAAACGAAAGATAAATAAAATCAATAAAAGATAAATAAAAGACATACAGTACTAGGCAAAAGGCAGCAACCCTTCATTTATGTACTCAAAATGGCTATTAAGTACACGTTTTCTCAGCATCAGAAAAAAAGAATATATATATAATATATATAATATATATATATATATATATATAATATTTAAATAAATAAATAAATATATATATGTATATATATTTAAATAAAAAAATAAATATATTTAATAGAGAATTACACAAAAGCCTCAACAACTAAATATAATATTGAATGCTCCAGTATTTACTGTGTCCACCCTTTGGCTTCAATCCATTTCGGGAGACTTACTTTCCGTTTCTCAAAGAAATCTGCAGGAATATTTTTCTATACCTCCAAAATTCTGTCTTAGAAGTTAGTTACATTTTCTACTTCTCATGAGCCAAGAATGTCTAGCAGCTTGTTTGTTTAATTCGTAAATGTTCCTCTTTTTGTGTATTTCATTTTCTCAGTAACAGCTTCTTGACAGCTACGCATCCTGTCAGACCCAAGGCATTGTCTTCTCACAGTGGAAGGATGGACAGAAACATATGTAGATTTTTTTCAGATCTTAACCCTGGTGTGGTGTTGACGTGTTTGTTATTCAGTGGTCTGCTGGACCCACCACGTTACTGTTTTTTTAAATATACAGCCGTAACAATATGTAAAAATACCAGATGTTTAAAATATCACAAGTGTCCAGCGTAGGGTTCTCCTTTAGCAGCTGTAGCCAGTCAGCAGCCTGTCCATGTTGTCCACCCTCACACATATATACAAACACATACACACACACACACACACTAAACAGCAGGCCATGTAGGAGGAGAACAGAGTGAAGAACACAGCACCTCCACACTTTTACTGCCCGCAGGTTCACCCAACACCACGTGTAATATAAATGTGTGGGGGGTGAACAGAGTGAAGACACTGAAAATGGGTTATTTTATATGTTCTTCACAGAAAATGAGTAAAGGACAAGAATCTGAAATAATAATAAATCACTTCATTTTTCTTTTGGTAAACACTGAAAATGGGTCCCACAGACCCGAACACCACACAAGGGCTAAGCAAGAGTGAAGTTTGATTTTCTCCTCTCTCTTAAAGCTTTAAGCACTGTTCATTTGATGGTGACAGTTTTGGTGATCTATCAGGTCTTGCACTGTTGTTAAGAGTCCCATGTTCTCTATATCTTTTAATAATCTTTTGTAACTTATGCTTTTTCCACTTATTTTCCTGTAAATGTGGATTACATCTAATCTCCTCAGAAAGCCTTATGAAAAACAAAAACCTTCTACTGTTCTAAAACTGTCTGTTCTGATGGAAAACTGAATGCATGAAGAGTGGTCTCTGACTTTTGCACAGTATTGTATGATACAACAGAATTTTCAGAGCTTTAGAATCTTTTGACGCACTTCAGCATGCCACAAAAGTAGAAAAAAGTTTTGTTTTACCTGAAGACAAGGGAGTTGGTTCGGCCAAAGCCCAGGACAAGAGACTCGGTCATCTCAATGCTTTCAAGCCGCATCAGAGGAACCAGCTGCTTCAGGAGCCAGGCTACTGAGGGGGTTCCAATTACCTGCTTACACACACATACACAATATCCTCAGCATCAGTTAAGTTTTATTAGACATTTAAGACACATTAATGAGGAATTCAGCTTGGCAGATGTCCCTAGCTTAACATTTGTCTTTATCTTTATTGAAATTTGCCGTGCATTAAAATGAGATTTGTTGTTTATTACAAGACTGGCTGCAGCATCTATAGCAGAGGTCACTAATAGATGGACCGCGGTCCGAGTCCGGACCCAGACGCTGTCCTATGCGGACCTGGACCTACAACCGACAAACTATGGAGAATTCTTTAATTTCGACAGGGTGGTCCTATTTTAATCGGCGTAACTTTTCTAACCTTTACGGTGTGGCTTTAGCGGCCTGGGAGACTCACAGACCAATCGCATACGTTGTAAATATCACGTGACGCTACTCAGCCAATCAGATCTGTATGTTACAATGAGCACTGAGACTCGAATGAGTGTCACACAAACAGGGGAGGGATGAGGGGAGAAACAGCAGTCGGAGAAGAAAGTGAGTCAGAGGGAAGTTATTTCACATGGCGTGATCTAAAAAGAGAAAACTGACAATAAATGTTGCTGAAATATGACTGAATTGTACTTTATTTGATTTGATATTCAGTTGTTGACTGTATAAGATGTTGATATACCTACTAGGCTACTTCAGTTTACAGTCTATGGCACTGAATCATGATGCAATTTAGACATTATGATGTTCCGGACCTTTGCTTGAGGAAATTTTCTCTAATTGGACCTTACTGAATTTTAATTAAATACCCCTGATCTAGAGAGTTTACCTTGTTGTCATAGGTGATACTGCCGTCGGGCGTGGTAGCCATGATCTCAGGGGTTGAGGCCCTAAGGTGGCCCGGGCTCATGATGCTAGGCTTGGCTACACCCAGACACAGAATCAGGTAGTTTCGCCACAGGGTCACATAACCGTCTGCCGGCCCCGGCGTGCTCGTCTTTTTGGCATACACTGGACTGCTGTAGGTGCACACAAGTCATATTCATGGTCACTGCAGTTCACTTAACATCTCAACATCTCAAATATAAGCAGGAGATTATTTTTTTTTATTATTATTATTGTATTACTGTAAAAAGGTGTATACAAATGATAGTAAACTGCACTTAAACATAGCTAAAAGTAATGACAAGAGGGTTAAGTGCAGTAAGAACTTCAATCAAACAGAAAAAAAAAAGATTTATATTTAACTAAAGGTGAACACGGGGCACTCTGAACTCACTTAGGGTCCACCAGAGGCATGAGCAGCTGCAGGCGTGTGAATGCGTAAGGCCAGGCGTAGCTCAGAGCCATAGGACAGTGTTTAGGGAGGTGCTCCTGTCGGAGGAAGCTATAGAGGCACAGCACCCAGGGATCCTTCACAGACTGGGCAAAGATCCACACATGAGAGGGGCTCTTAACATCGTAGTGGCTGTTGACCAGACGTGCGTTCCACTCCACCAGCCACTGCAGGTCCACATGGTGGCTCAGGGGCAATGTGGCCTGCAGGCACACACAGAAAAAGATTTTACAACTCCATTTCCAAAGAGTTGGGATGCTGTGCAATAGGTAAATAAAAACAGCAAATCATGTAAAACCTACATTTAATTCTAAATAGTACAAAGACAACATATCAAATGTTGAAACTGAGAAATGTTATAGTTTTTTGAAAATATATATGCCCATGAATAGTGAGGGGCTGTGGTAATTATGTTTAAGTCTGTCTTTTTCACTCAACATCTAATCTGTTTTTTATTTCATTTTTACCGTTACCTTTTTTATTCATCTTTTTTTCTTCCCTATTTTACGTAACTCTTCTTATTCTTTTTATTTTTTAATTTCCTACTTGTTCTGTTGTTTATGTGTGTGCTGATTTGATGTACAGCACTTTGGTCAATCCAAGTTGTTTTAAGAGTGCTGTATAAATAAAACATGCTTACTTACTTACTTACTATGAATGAAAAAACATTTCACTTTCAAAAATACAGCAATTGGTCTCCTCAGTTCCCAACACTTAAAGGGTGTTGTTGAAAGAAGAGGTGATGCAACACAGAGGTTAACATGCCCCCATCCCAACGTTTCTGAAACATATTGCTGTCATAAAAGTTAAAATGGATATATTTTTCAAAAAACAATAAAATTGCTCAGTTACAACATTTGATATGTTGTCTTTGCACTATTTCCAATTAAATATAGGGTTTAAATGATTTGCACATCATCGTGTTCTTTTTTGATTTTTATTATGCACTTTATTGGAAACGGGTTTGTATTAAAAGTGCAAAATATTTACTTTCCTCTGGTCAATATGATTTAGTCTCTTAAGCTCAGTTAAACTGACAACTGTAAACACACAGGGTCTGATTCATAAAACTTGGTGGTAACAGCGCATAATGCATGGCATGGTAGGTAAAACCTATTCATAAAGTCAGCGTGGTGGTGATTAGTGCACCGCTGTCTTTTTAATGGCGCAGTATTTTCACCGAGGATATAAATATTAATGAGCGGCAACACCTCACATTGTGTAAACCAATAAAACATGCCACTAATCCTAGTTTATGAATGAGCAAATGTGTTATTGCTATTTGCTCTTAATGTCACGGCGAATCTGCCGATGTTTTATGAATCTGACCCACAGTCATTAAAATACAACAGAAGTGCTTACCGAGTCAGACACAGCCACGTGAACAAAGCTATCCAGAACTATGGGGCTGAGCTGGTCCATCACCTCGATCATGGGTTTATCGTCATCCTTTGGGAGACAGAAATGGGACAAGTTTAATGGTCGTCTAAGAGTTTTAAGATCAGTTTACCTTTATTAATTGTGTAACATCCGATTGTAAAGGCTTGAAACGTACACTGTACACCCAAATGTTTATAAACACCTGCTCATTCAACATATTTTCCAAAATCAAAGGTATTAAAAGGGCAATTATTCCGCCTTTTTTGCAGTCTCTACTGCTCTGGGAAAACCTTACACTAGGTGTTGGAACGCTGCTGTGAGGATCTGACCGCATTCGACGCAAAGAGCATTAGTGAGGTCAAGAACTGATGCTGGATGATTCATTCTGGATCACAATCCAGTGCTGCACAGCCAAGTGCTGGGGAGATTTGTACCCCTTTAGCCAACACTTCGCACTGGGCATAACCTAAAAGCTCATGTGCTGCTACTCCAGACTGTCCCATTCTATTGGCAATGCTTTTCTATGGAGATTATTCGAACTGTGTGTGGGTGCAAGTAAACACCTGTGTCAACAATGGATGCACCTTAAAGTGGCTGAACTCACTAATCACATTTGGACGTACAGTGCATCATTTTGTCATATTATATCGCTGATTATGTTGCTGACTTCTACTGCAAGGAATAAATACTGTGTTTATACATGTGGCAATCTCAGTTATCCCAATAAATACCACATTACAGTTTAAATACAATACAAAACCAGAACATTATCAATTCACTCTCTTACAAAGACTTAAAAGATCCATGTAAGAGCAAAAAGCACTTTTCATGGCCCATGTTAAAGCCGGTAGCTGTGTGTTATCTACGGACTGGCTCACCTCGGCCTGGCCAATGGCGGTGAAGAGACACCGGATCTCACGAAGCACAGCCACGGCAAGTTTGCGCGTGCTGGTCTGGCAGGAGCAAAGCAGCAGCAGGGCAAGCCCTTCAACGGCATGCAGGACTGTGGAGTGAGGGCTGCGCTCCACAGGCAGCCTGGAGCTCAGCTGTAACAGATGGAACCAACACAAATACACACAGGTCAGAGTTTTTACATATGGGTCATCGTATCATCAGTCATACACACAGCTACATCTACCTATATGGAAACATACAACATACCACCATTTATAAACTCAGCATACACAAGTCAAACTCAAATGGATACACAATTTTATATAGCATATGGTCACGCTCAATCGTTGCATTCAAAATCTCTTCGAACACGGAGCGGTTGCGATAAGTGCCTTCGAATTTTTTAGTACAGAAACATCAGCCCAATTGTTTATGAGGTCTCAGCAGCACGAAATGATGAAGAATGTCGAGTTGGATTGCCGTAAAAGTCGCATGAAATTTCAGAACCACATATGAAAGCGTCTCTAATCGTAATTGAAAATGTCAGTCAGTATGTTTTTGCTGTTCACACTGACATAAAGATGACACATCTGTGTCACATATGAAGAAAAAGATCGCCTTTGGGCCACTTTTACCTGCTGTGTGAACACAGCCTTAGTGAGACATGCCAAAGTCATAAAAATCTTTATCGTAACTAGTTGGGAGAAAGAACATTTTTGCTGGAATGTGTTGGCAGTATGACATATTTAGAGTGCTAAGGCTGCGTTGTTGATAGGAAGGAGTGCTTACTGTAAAGAATTGGCAGGGTGAGATTTTTTGTGCATTGGAATTTAGGGGTGTTTCTTCAAATGTACTGGCATGACTACAATTTGTTTTAATTTGTTTGTTTGTTGCACTGCTTCCCGTAGCGAGTTAGAGGAATGTTTGTTCTAGTGTGTGGGCAGAGATCAGTGCAGCATTACCTCTGCCGAACGTTTGCCTGGTGCCTGCAGGGCCAGCCTCCACTGCGTGAGCAACTGCAGCAGCAGTTTGACTGATGTGTCCTGCAGGCCCTGCTGTGTGTCCTGCACCTCCCGCAACAGGAAGTTGGTGTATCCAAACAGAACATCCTCCCGCCAGTCGGAGAAGTCCAGCAAAAGACTCTGCAGGGAATTCTGGGCAATTAGACGGAGCTCGATGTCCATGTGGACCGTCAGCCTGAAGGAGACAGAGACACATGAAGTGAGATGAACATGAAATAAAAACATTCATCACAGCACAGAATGTACCAATCACCATGTGACACATCACACTCAGCATTATGGAGAAGAATAAAGTAAAAGAGTGATTATGGTAAGTCAATAACACATTTCTTTAGAAGGTCAATTACAATCTCATTAAATTTACTTACACAGGTTTACGACTACCTCGCTAAATCATGGTCAAGCTGCTCTTGGGCCTTCTGTCCACATACTGAATAAATGTTACTGGAGAATATGGTAAGAAGACCTTCAGTACATTGTTGAAGTGCTACTAACATTTTTGTTTGGAGGTTCAATCCAAAAGTGCGCTCTGTAATATCTGTCATCTGTCTTGGTTAGAGAGGGCTTCAGTTATTTTGTTTGTTATCTTGTTGAATGCTGCTTGAGTCATAGCCCTCACCTGGCCAGCAGGTCAATGAGTTCAGGCTTGGACATGCCATCTGGGAGGATGCGGGGAATGGCCGCCACACACGTCCTAAAGAGGTCGATCTTCGGCTTCCTCTCACCACTGCGAGAGGGAGAGAGAGAGGGAGAGAAAGAGAGAGAGAGACAGCGTGGGCTGAGGCTGACACAATCAGACAGACATAGGTAAATACCAGGCAGGGAAAGGTGATCCTCTTAAGCCATTCAACCATGGCTCAATCCAGCCACTTTCAGACTGTAACAAGAACACTGGAAAAGTACATCGCTCAAAACACCCACGCATGGACACAATTGCGAGCTGTTCTAAAATATCACCTTGTAAAAGTCAAAGTCACATGATATGACCACAAAGAACAACTGTGAACAGTGTATTGTGGCATGCGTCATCCAGGAAATGGCTGGTTAATCTTAAGGGCAGGCTAGGTGCAGAATATGTCTGGTTAAGGTTAAGCTAGTTGTAGGGCTGGCTTATTTGCAGTATGGTTGTTCTACCATGTAGATACTACTATTCTGGTAATGCCACCACCAGTTTCTCTGTGAGTGGATGCACTTACGTGATCATGTCCTCCGGTTCTTTGTTGAGCATCTGCACATTCGTGAGCATCATGCAGCGGCCCACCTCCTTATCCAGGTGCCTCAGGATGTTATCGATGGCCTTCCTCACCTGGGAGTAGTACAGTGCCATACCTGAGACAAAAAAATCAGAGGAATTATAATTTATGTGGCCCGATCGTAGGAAAGATATTTTAATTTCAACAGTGACAAACAAACAAATAGAACACCCACAATAGCACACCAACATATTTTCTAAGTGAACTATATATTATGGTAACAAAATAATGCTATAGCAACACCTCAACCTTGCCTTAACCTTATCCATAGTAGCCAAAAGGAAATATAAGAATATTCTTTTTCCTTTCTACCATTATGGGGACATTTTAAATAAAGGAAAAAACCGAATATACAACTCAAACCTCACAGCAAATTCACTACAGACCTAGAATAGATTAAGTTTTTGCAAGGCCCCAGTGTCTTTAGAGGCTGATGAAAATATGTATTTACAAGTGACTTCAAAAGTGAGAAATGTTTTTTTTGTTTTTTTGAAAATTAAAAGAAGTATTCTTATTAATACAAAAATAACAGGTTGTGCTTTTGTGTAAGATCTGTGTCTAACTTGAATCATGATTTCTTCTTTTTCTTTTAATCTGAGACATAAATCAAAAACAAGTGTAGTCTTATATGCTTTGAAGGATAAACACTACCACCACTATCACAGACCATCTAAAACAACCCTTTTTGTACAGCAACAACAATATCCCATGTTTCAATAAAAAGGGGCTTGAGAATAAATAACATTTCTTTATTTACTTCAGTTATTTAGTACATATTGATGGGCTTTCGTTCGTCTAATGTTCACATTTGCTGTGTATTGTTCCTATCAGTATCTGAGCCACCGTGGGCCTTGATGGTTTGAGGCCCATAGCAGTCAGAGACCCCTGGGCACTGACCACACTATCCCAGTCAGTAATCCATCCCTGCTACAGACACACTATACCACACTCTTAAACACAGACACTGTTGTGTGAACTGAATGCTCACCAATGAGTTTGGCCTCCTCTTCCGTCAGAGTTTTGCTCAGGTATGTCTTCTTCTTTTTCAGGGTGCTTCCAGAGGGCAGAGTGGCTCCTGTGTTAGGCATGGGTGGCTCTCCGTCCTTCTGCTGCAGGTTATCCGCTATGACCAGGAACGCCCTCAGCGCAATGTTCATTCTCTGAATCACAAACACACAAAGTGACACTCAATCAGCCTTTGATGGAGATTTTGCCAATTTTCAACCTCTTTAAATACACTTCTTTGTGTAACCTCTTCACAAAAATGTATCTCATTTTCAAATCATAAAAATATAATTACTGAACGAGTAGATAAATATTGATGCATATAGTGTTTCGTACACCATTTGATTTACATGTTTCATGTAAGTGTGCACATATGACTTTGACAAATACCAATTTTAGCACTTAAAATAGGAAAAACATTTCTTAGCGATGGGAATATAAATGAAAACTTTACCTCTGGATTAAGACTGAAACGCTTTAGCTGATTTTCCAACACTGAGCAGGTCACAGATGATCTCCTTCATAGCGAAATCTAGTCTTTCCTGTATTTGGGAGAGATGGAGAAGTCAGATATTGAGCTTGCACGCATGAGGGTAAGTGAACAGGACAATCAGATGTCAGAACTGTTCTAAGAAAATCAAGTGCCTAGTACACAGTAAAATGCAGAACATGAGGTTCAAAAGGACCTACATGAAAACACAACACATTCAGTTCTTAGATATGTATCATCATAAAGTTCAGTCACACCTGTGCAATAAACTGGATTATCTTCACAAAGATATTTAGAGGCATGTCTCGAGGGACGACACTTCTGGATCCTTTAGGGAACAGGGTGGAAATGATGGAGGTCAGGCGGCTGAAGCGTAAGAGGACAAGAGAAGAAAAGAACAGATCATGAACATCATCGTCATCATCATCATCACTGTCACCTTCAACCATCTTTTTTGGCATTATCACAATCGGCATCAGCAATACGTGAAGATGTACGTTATTATATCAAAACCTCACCCCTACATCATTACATACATGTGCTGCTGACAAAAAGCAAAATACTCAGTACCTCTGCGTTGATGTGTTGCTCTCACACTTGATCCGGATCATGTAAACCCATAGCAGCCGATACAATGACTCCAGTGCCACTCGGGCCATTTTGTGGTCCTTGTTCTGAAAACAGAAATCAATATCTTGTATCAGTATGCTTCATTCAATTTATGGTAAATTAAAGTATTATTTACAGTGTTTTTTTTCAAGTGAGCAGCACAGCTTTCCCAGTAACAACACGTCTATTACGTAACAGGCGTCATCATCTATCAAGGGGCTAATTGCATCATCAGTTCTGTGGATGGAATTCTCTAAGACTGGATGGTGACAGAGATTTTGAATAAATATTCCCTTAATCAGTAATCAGATAGATTAGATATTGTAATCAATAACCAAATAAGTATCATTGGCTAACAGAGAATTTAATTAATTTAAGAATTTCAAGAAATTTAAATTAATTCTTTCACGAAGGGTCGGCCATAGTCTGTCTGCATAGGAGATTCTAGACACTGGTAAGCCTCTGGGTTCACACAGAGGCCTGTTTGTACCTACTGACCAAGTGAAGAGAGGGGCAAGTTAACTTTGAAAGGTAAGCAGACTGGTACAAACCAGTTGAAACCAGTTTTTAGGAGTGAGCTCAACATGCGATGACCAAATTGATGGAAGAGATGCACCTATCAGAGAATAAGCTGATATCAAAATTTGAGAAGTAAGGCGGGGGGATATCACATTACCCCAGATAAATGGTATAAACTGTTGTTTGGAACACTGTATTTGTGTAGTTGGGTCTCTCTCTCTGTGCCACTTGATGCTGTAATAAAGAAGAAGCCTCATTGCTTCTTCCACCAGCTCAGCGTCTGAAGACTCTTTCCCTTTTGACATCTTTTGAGAACTTAGACTTAAAACGGTTATTAGTGAAAGTGTTCAGCCAGTATTAAAAGATTTCTTTTTATTCATAATATTATGTAGGAGGCCTGGGGTTGAAGCGGATAGCCCTTGGTCCTGACAATGGCCTCACCAAGAACAAAGTAAACTTTGACTGAAAGTGTCACAACAAGGCTCTACTCTGGAAGAGGAGTCCATAATGTACTGGATTGTTTCTCTGCTCATGTTTGACTTTGGCTCGGTCTTTATTCTGTCACCACTAACCACACCCGATCGCTCACTATTGTTTCTGATAATTGGATATGGTCTGCTATATGTAGCCCATGTTGGCCTCTGCTAAACGGGAAGTCTTGCTTAAAAGCGAAAGAGTGTCTGGTTTCATGCTGCGTTCAACCAGAGCTTGGAATTTCCAATGTCGGACTAGGAAAAATTTAAGAAAACACTCCCTCAACTTGGAAACTCTACTCAAAGTTGAAATGGTGTTTTTTAACTCTTCTACGAATCTACATATGGCATCACAACAAAATGGCTGCCCACATAAACAGTAGTAAAGTATCACTTGTCTGCTTATTAAATGAGATTTGCTTTAGATCAATTAACATTTCGCTGCTGTCGGAAAAAAACTCGTATTTCCGTTTTTGTTGTTTTTCAGTTTTTTACATAATTTGAAAGTGCCTGTTGTCCTTTACATTGTGTGTAAATTTCATGATGAATGGACCAAAAGAAAAGTCCCAAAATGACTTGGAAAAAAGTCCGGTTCCAATGACTTACATTAAAAGTAAAGTAGGTTTTTCCTTCTCCTTTAAAGTTAGAGTTGTCCGTGTTTTTTACGACTTTTTAGCTTGAATGTACAGGGGCTAAACAGAGACTTCATTTTAAGCTCTGACTTCCCTCTTCAAATTAGGCTGAATGCGGCATTAGTTTCCATAATCTGTCATCTTTCTGCGTTCTGGCCCTGTTTGTACACTGCCTTGTTCATGATTATAGCTTCACCAAGTATAGCTGGACGATCTGCCTGCATCCTACTGCCTCTGCCCCCCCCTTATACAGAAAGGCACAGAGACAGAGAGAAAGTGAAAAAGAGATGACAAGAGAGGACAAAAAATCAAAGAGTGAGAGTTCTAACATTGTCTGAGTTGTTGGCTGACAGTCACTCAAAGTCAATGACTGACGTGATGTGTAAGACAGAAATAGAGCAGGAGAGAGAAAAAGAGGACATGTAAGGTAACAAACGAGATCAGAAAGTGACTGAACTTTACACTAAACTTCAACACCTCGGGCTCTCTGTCAGCATTCCTGCAAACCTGCATATTGTATTCAGCACGATTGCTTTTCTTGTGTCTATAGTAACATGGCTCTTTCTGTACTTAACAGCTGCTTTAACGCAACTGATTCAACTCATGAGAAATTAGCAAATAATCAAATGCAAACAAATTTACTGCAAATGTACTTGCTTACCCCAAAAGCAATTAACCAAAACATGTTTGTGAAGAAGTTTACTTCTTTAGTTTTGCACTAGAGCTATGGGGCTAACGTAACTAACAAGTAACGGAAGCTTACAGCCACGAGTTTAGCACTAAGCAAACTGCAAGCTCAAATCATCACAAACCACGTCTGTAAAGTTGTTGAGTAATCTCAAAAAGACTTGCTCTACGCTCACTGTCCATTTTATCAGCTCCACTTACTATATAGGTGCACTTTGTAGTTCTACAGTTACAGACTGTAGTCCATCTGTTTCTCTGCATACTTTGTTAGCCCCCTTTTACCCTGTTCTTCAGTGGTCAGGACCCCCATGGACCCTCACAGAGCAGGTACTATTTGGGTGGTGCATCATTCTCAGCACTGCAGTAACACTAATGTGGTGGTGGAGTGTTAGTGTGTGTTGTGCTGGTCTGAGTGGATCAGACACAGCAGTGCCTCAGTGTCGCTGCTGGACTGAGAATAGTCCACCAACCAAAAATATCCAGCCAACAGCGTCCTGTGGGCAGCGTCCTGTGACCACTGATGAAGGACTAGAGGATGACCAACACAAACTGTGCAGCAGCAGATGAGCTATCGTCTCTGACTTTACATCTACAATGTGGACTGACAAGGTAGGAGTGTCTAATAGAGTGGACAGTGAGTGGACACAGTGTTTGAAAACTCCAGCAGCACTGCTGTGTCTGATCCACTTGTACCAGCGCAACACACTAACACACCACCACCACCACGTCAGTGTTACTGCAGTGCTGAGAATGATCCACCACCCAAATAGTACCTGCTCTGTGAAGTTTTAACAGAATTAATATCCCGAATGCCCCATATTTGAAAAGTGAGGAACAATCTTGAGGCAGATAACGTACCAAGAAATGACTACAAATAGATAATTACAGTACATTGTTTATCAGATCACTTCTTGCTGTTCCCAAAAAAACTTGAAATATTAAATAAAACGATCATTTCAACTGACACCGTTTAAGGTGTAACTGAGTAAAATCACAACAACTATTTTAATAACAAGTGATTCCAAACTTTTGAACGGTCGTGTATGAAGAAGAATGTCGAGAGTAGTTATGTGGCCCTCCTGCCTGTCCCACAACATTCCATTCAGTCTCCTCCCAGCTTTACCTCCTCACTGCCACAGTTTTAAATGTACTTTATCCTTTGTTCTGCCACAGTTTGAACCCCTTAATGCCTTTAAATGCTTACTACCTTGAAGTGCTTCATTCTAAGAGATGCATTAAACAGTTTTTTGAATTGATAAAATAAACCCTCACCTTGAGATTGGACAAGCAGTTGTTGAGGAAGACGTGCCATCTGTTGAGGAAGATCTGCTTCTGACTGACGCACAGCAGACAAGTTACCAATGGATACAAAGCCTGCAAATAAACACACATATGTGTATTTTATTGCATTTTTCAATATGTTTTATAACAAGGGTGGGGAAATGTAAGGGGTAGGGGAAGGCAGGACGGTGGCAAACATTTTTAGGAATACACACAAATCAAAAATAAAACAAAGACAATACATCAACAACTAGACAACTGAACAACATTACATAATTTAATTGGAAACTAAAATTCTTGAACAGAGTCATATAAATTCTCCCAGTTTCTTATTGTTTTCTGTTTTGCCTTGTTTAGCTTTGCTGTAAGATATTCCATCCGAAACTATATTTTGAAAACTAGATGTCCAGAATTTCACAGCCGAAAGCTGTGGGCCAGTCCAAAGTTGCAAGACAGTTTTCTTGGTACCTGTAAAACTTGCCATCACCATCCTTCACTGAATCGAAGAAAACTGAAAGAGCTGAGCCATCGTTTAAAAGACATACATGTGGCGGCAGTGGATCACTGAGATCAAGTACTTTAGACAATATATCTACTGTAGAGGTCCATATATCTGCTACTTTAGAACGTTCCCAGAACATATGCATGAATAGACCACGTGCAGAGTCATTTGATATCTCCTGTAAAGAGATTTACACAGAACCACTGTCTTTACTAAAGAACCCTTGAAGCACCATCTTTATTAAGTGTGTACATTAGCAAAAACGGTTTGTTTTAAGAGGCGAAACGGAACCTAATAAGAGTTTGTGAGCTGCCTGTAGGTGAGTTAGACCAATCAGAGGCAACCAAACCTCCATGTGTTGTGACATCAAAACCACAACTAACTGTGGATGTTCTGGTATTCTTGGCCAAAATAAATCAGGCCTGAATCTCAATTAAAAAAAAAAGCAATTTAAACTGCAGTCGCAATATTAGTTGGAAAAATCGCAATTAGATCTTTTCCACAAATCGTTCAGCCCGAGTTCACAGTAATGATAGATTCGACTCATTTGCCTACACAAATGTGAATCATCAAGTTAGAAAAATCAGATTTGAGAAAAAAGTCAGAATTGAGCAATGAGGCTTATAGTGTGAACGCAGCCGTGAGCTGATGAGAGACCTTATAGATTACTTGAAAACGATGATCCAGAATGCCCATTTCAAATTCCACTTATATGGACAGCTTACCATTAAGCACCATTAAAAAACAGTGACTCAGCAGATAAAGAAAAAACCACACAGGATCTCTTTCTTAACAGGAAATAACTTTGCGAGGAAAACTTAATGGAGGCTTAAAAGCAGCCACCACACCAGCCGAGGGGGCCCAAACAACACTCAACTGTCAAAGCTCTGTCTGAGCTGTCATCTCTTAACTGGATAGTGAAAGATTTACAGGGTGGGAAAAAAACCTAGGGTCCACGAGGCTAATAATTTATGACAAACAATTCAGCCAGGAAGACTCCTGTCCTTTCAGGTCCCCAAAATTCACATAAAGGTAAGCAACTGTGTGTGACTCATTTGCCTACTCATGACAACACTGTGATAAGACGAGCGCTGCATCAGTGCTTGAGAAACTTGGTCTAAACCGCTGGTCTTCACTGGAACACTCAGGGTAAGGACGAAGCCACAAGCATGCCAGCTATGAGGCCAATTACATTAGACAAGACCCCTCTGCTTTCCCGAGCCAAGCATAGTAGAAGAGAGCGCTGCATGAATCACTCACCAGAGAATGCTTCTTCCTGGAAGACAGGTCCAAGGTGGTGTCATATAGACTTTCCACAAAGTTCCTCAGACACGGAACATTAACCTCATTCTTCACAGTCTAAAAGAGATGCAATACAAAGATGTTCTCAGTTTACATCCCCATAATTATTGCTCCAAATGATCATATTTCCATTCAGCGTGAAGACTTGGTGTCATAATATGGATCCTGAAAAAATGAATAGTCTCAGCCATCATGCTTAGTGAGAAGATTGAGGACTTACTGCTGCCACTGGAACCAATATCTCCACAAAGAGCCCAGCCAGAGAGTGCTTAATGTCTTTATCCTTCACCTCTAAGAAGTACTGGGCACATTCCTTTAAAAGGGAGAGCACACAGGCAATTAATCAGACCGCACACCCACAATGCATGAGGGGAAAAGACTGCACTGTGCCTTAGCCTAAAATAAATGTGACCTAACCTCTGACATGATCTCATTCTCAATGCAACGAACGATGTGAGAAATTCAATTAGTACACCACTATTAGAAGTCCAGTTGTTATTACTGAACAGCTGCAGGCAAAAAAGTGTGAACATCCCTGGTCAAAATACATGTTTTGTTGATTTGCTATGTGTAAATGTTTTACCACATTGGAACAAATAAAACATAAAGTATGAAATATGCCTTAACTTTTATACAGGCCACATTTAATGTAAAAAATAAACAGTAACTGTGCATTGAAATGTGTAGAAGTGTGTTCTCTGTAGAGGATGTTTAAGTAAGAGATCACGAGAGGGAGTGTGTTATCACAAAATAACATCACGGCTGTGATTTGGTCGCCGTAGATCATCACAGCCGTGATGTTATTGGCGATAACACACTCCTCGAGTGTTCTATTGCTTTTATACAACAGTTAAATAAATAAAGTAATAAATTAATAAACTGGGCCGTGAACGCGGCGTTTAATATGTTTTAATGTTCGCAGTTCCTTCATCAAATTATAGTTCCTTAACGAGCAGCTTGTTGCTACGTCAGAGTAACGAGCTCCGCCCACTCGCTGCACAACCGGCAGTTCGTTCTCCAGCTCCACACAGACCAACTGACAGTTTGGGAACTTAGTGTCGTCTCATCTTCAGAGTCTGACCAAATCGGCTGTCGGTCAAATGAAAACTTAAAAGTGTCCATTTTCTGTTTGTGGCAAAGTAAGAACTAAAAACTTTCAAACGGCTTGAGCGTCTCCTACAGCTGTCAAAGTCATTGCTTAGCAACGGCATCTCAGTGAAGTGATACGGTGTTTGAGGAAAAACCTGTGATGTTATGGTGAAATAACACGGTTAGAACACTTCTCAACCAATCAGCTTGCATAGCCGGAACTAACTGTTGTATAAATTAAGTTATTTTCACTTAGAAAATCAACAAAACATGTTATTTAACCAGGTGTGACCAAACTTACACATATGACTGTGTGACTGTATGTATGGTATGTGTTTTTGGACGCAGCCTTAGCACTTGATTCACTCTCTTATATTAACTCAAATCATCTTTATAATAGTAATGCTAATTTCTAAAAACACTGAGATCAGCGTACCTGCATGAACTGGAAGGAAGCCTCAAAGTCTTCCACAGGGTACATTTTAATGCGGAAGAACTTGACCCCCATGATCAGGCTTATAATGCTTTGGACCACATAAGGGCTCTGCTCCTTCTGCCTGAGCTCCTTTAGCTCTGAAATAAACTTCTTTCTCACTGCTGGAAACCTGAGTGAAAGAAATGAATGAGAAAAGGATAATCAGTCCTGTTTAACTGCATGTAGTGACACACAGTAAAATGTAGTAAAAAATTATATACTCATAGTTTTGATTTCACTTTTTATAGCATTTTTAAAAAGATTTTCCTTTATTTTTGCCATATTGCACTTTCGTACTCTTTCCAATTTAACGGCAGTTTGCATTTTAAAACATTCTGTGTGACTTTAAAATAAGTCGCTGGCATTTTCTTGTATTTGTTTATCTGTCTGTAGCTCTAAACCCTGTAAAGTATCAGCTTCAGGGAGTAGTTAGTGGGATAATCTGCAGAATGTGCTTTTGATGTCTGTGCCCATCTGGCAAAGGGAGGTGGGATTATTAAAACACTCTCCGAAATGAAGCTGGACAAACACTCAGCATATGTATCCCACATACAGAGCGAAGTACAAAGACATACACCGATCAGGCGTAACATTATGAGCACCTCCTTGTTTCTACGCTCATTGTCCATTTTATCAGCTCCACTTACTATATAGGTGCACTTTGTAGTTCTACAGTTACAGACTGTAGTCCATCTGTTTCTCTGATACTTTGTTAGCCCTCTTTTAAAAACTCCAGCAGCACTGCTGTGTCTGATCCACTCAGACCAGCGCAACACACACTAACACACCACCACCACGTCAGTGTTACTGCAGTGCTGAGAATGATCCACCACCCAAATAGTACCTGCTCTGTAAGGGTCCATGGGGGTCCTGAGCACTGAAGAACAGGGTAAAAGGGCTAACAAAGTATGCAGAGAAACAGATGGACTACAGTCTGTAACTGTAGAACTACAAAGTGCACCTATATAGTAAGTGGAGCTGATAAAATGGACAATGAGTGTAGAAACAAGGAGGTGGTCATGATGTTATGCCTGATCGGTGTAAGATCAGTTCTGAACCAGAAGAGCAGAAAACTAGCGCTAGAAGGTCTACTTAGTAGCTAAGCAACTGTGCAGAGCCTGAACTGACTGCTAGTATGTTTTTTATGTGTTTGTCCGAGCATGCGTGTGTGTTTTGTGTGAACTCTGATTGGGTTGAGACAGGGAGAGCTCTTTAGCTCTATATTTAGAATGGCATCTGGAATGGGAGAAAGGGGGAGAGCGCCACTCTCTCTGACTTTCTCTCTTTCTCTCTTTCCAGTGCTGAATGTTTGGTTTCTGTCTGCTTGTGCTTCTCCTTGGCTCTTCATGGCCCTATGTACTGTAAACTGGTTTAGACAGAACAAGAACATGTAAAGCTATTTATCTCTGACAGTATTAGTCTTCCTTTTCGTGTTTTGTTACAGGAACACACATGCACGTACGCAAATTCTTTTTCTAACAATTTATGCTTTTTGCAAAAATTCTGAAAATACTTAGATCATTAATATCATAAATAATAAAGAAGCGTCATTAACATCAAAACCTAGCATCTCCGACAAAATAGGATCAGATTCAATCTTAGCATGGCATTGATAGAATGTCTTCTGAATATAAGCAGACACATCCTCCATCAAGGTAATGGGCTCCATTAAAGCTCCATCTCACATCACACGCTCAGTCACACAGAGTAAAAAATACCCCCATCAGTATCAGCTCAAAACCAGGTCAGGCTGAACTGGTAAAGGAGGGTCAAGAAAGGAAGAGGAACGCAGAAGAGAGTCGCCGGACTTTCAGTAGAGTTAAAGTTTACCAAATATCGAATACACAATACAATAATTTGCAAATATTGTAATATCCCACACATTTATATGAATGAAACAACAAAAATAATAGTTTGATTATAATAATCTGATTACACAAAAATGGAACAAACATAAAAATTTTATGAACAATACTGATTTCAGTTGTAAGAGAATAAAAATTCTGATAACCGATTAAGTGGACAGCTTCATGTAGATGCCCTGTAAATGCTTATCTTGCATTTAACTTCAACTAAATTCAACATCCAACTAAATATCTATTAAAGTCATCAAACTCTCTCTAACCCTAAACCTGGTCCTAACCCTAACTTTAACTTCAATCCACGATCTAAACCTAACCTTTTTATTTATATTTTGGACATTAATTCTATATTGTATTTTTCGTTTAATTTTATATTTTTTGGCATTATTGCCATTTCTCAAATAAACAATTTTAAAAAGCTCATGAAGTCATATTAAATAATAGAGCATGTAACAATTCTTCACTGAGTTTGTTTCTGTTAATTGCTTCTTATTCATCAGTGCATCTCTTCATAGACATTCTGTATAACATAACGCTGCTGTCGGAAAAAAACCTTGTATCTCCATTTTTGTAGTTTTTCAGTTTTTGACATAATGTGAAAATGCCTGTTACCCTTTACACTGTGTGTAAATTTCATGATGAATGGACCAAAAGAAACGGCCCAAAATTTCTTGGAAAAAAGTCTGGTTCCATTGACTTACATTAAAATTAAAGTGTGTTTTTTCCTTCTCTTGTAAAGTTACCATTTTGGAGATGCAAGGTTTTCTTCTGACAACAGCGATATGCTAAAGTTTAGTCATAGATGGATTTACATTTTATTACTTAATTTTAACCACATTGAGGTCTGAGTTTAAATTTACTAAATAAAAAAGATGAGCTGTTAATTATCTGCGATTTATCAGCAGATACCAATACGAACTTGAGACCTCTATATCAGCCAGTATTATTGGCCACAACATCAGGTGCCTGCATGGGTTGTGCTGATATATGGAAGATATAAATAAAAAAAAAAAAAACACACACAAGAAATATGTTTCATTTTCAGTGTTATAGCTTACACATTTGATCATCCATCATATTCAGGGCTATTTTAGCTACTTTTAGAACTTACCTGGACTGAGCCACTACTCCAACCACCTCAGCATAAAGGTCAGCCACAATGTGCATGTTGGCTGTGTTGGGTCCCAGATACCTGTATAGAAAATTACTAGCATTTAATAGGTGCTGATTGTGGCTCAGGAAGGCACTAAGTTCAAGTTCTTTCAGATGTTATCAAGAACATTTATCATGAGAGGCATTCACATACAAAACAATTGGAGGTTCATGTGCACTGAAAAAATAACATTCACACATTTCACGTATTTAACATCTTTACATTCCAAGGCAGAATAATGCCATACTGGCTTTCTCTGCGCACATCAGTGCAAAGCAGTAAACTAGATATTTACCCTTCTTTGTATTTGAAGTGCTTAAAGGCCAGATTGATGACTTCCTGAATGAGGCCATCCAGAAGAGGGTGAAGAGGGATCTAGTGGCAGAACGACAGTGAAACAATAGGGTAAAAGAGTCAGTCTTTGCTAATCAATCAATCCTTTGAAAAGCTAGTGCATGAGTACCAGATGTCTAACCCATAATAATATACTGTGGAATACATACTGTATATATGACGCATATGCCACGCATTGGAAATTCATAGTTCAAACACTTTTTTGTGTTCCATTTTTACGCATCCCAAGGTCTGCCAATTTCATTTCAATAAAAACATTTGAGTTTCTTTCCCAAATGCTGTACATTTGTAAGAAGAACAGGTTTAAAAAGAATAAGAGTTGCTGTATAACACACTTACCTAAATCAAATAAAGGTGGTATTGATTATAATATAGCACTGATATTCCTTGTATGCTTAAAGCTCAATCCCAACAAATTATATCATGAAAAAAATCTGTGGTGTTAAAGTGGAATTAATGTGTTTTGGAGGTAAACCTTCATTTGCAACTTACCTGTTTTAAAACCTCGATGAGTACCAGAGAAAATATGAAGTCTATGGCTAAATCCCTCCTCTCCATGAGATAATCCTTCTGTTGTTCATCACTGGAGCCAAGACAGACAGAGAGAGACCATAAAACGTGAGTGCATCCAAACATAAACATTACTGGAAATTAATAAGAGCTTTAGTGATTCTGTCTCCTCCACAATGTAAACATTGTACATGTTAATGTATACTGCATACGACAAATATTAAACTTTGCTACCGAAATCAATATTGCAATTAATGTAATTAATACAATTTCAGTGGATTGAATATAAAATAAGGCCAGCCAAGACAAAAAACACACAATGAGATTAGATTAGACATTACAGACTTACATTCAGTTACTGTGAATATATGATTGGATTACATCTCACTGAAACATTAAGGCTAGTGGGTGCTAATGAGTTTATGAACTGATTATTTTCGATAGATTGATAGATCGATAGATAGAACTGCATTGATACTGAAGGGAAATTGCAGTGTTGCAGTAGCAAGATAAATAATTCTACATAAACTTACATATACTATGCAGAAATACAATAGGAATAAAAACAGACATAAATTAGGCAGAAATAGAAAAATAAACATTAATTAAGTAAACTATGAGAGAGCAGGAATAAAAGTATATATATTGCACATTTACATAGCATATAAGACAGATTTGTTGTATTTACATGAGAGCAGGTATTGCGCTATTGCAAATGGTATGAGGTAGTTACAACACAATGAATATAAGCTTAACTATGAGTATCTGCAGTCTTTCCAATGCAATATGCCTAAATAAAACACCAACACTTAATAACTCTGAAAAAGTCTAGGTTAGATGTCTTACATTTTTACTGTATTTAATTTTTTTTCTGATCACTTCACATCACAATTAATAATTTGTGCAATTTTATGTACCAAAAATAGTAGTAATTAGTTTTTACATGACCATTTTCCAACCTCTCCTTATCCTATAAATTAAACAGACCGTCTTTGTCACTGTGTCTTTAAGACGGATATGATTGAGTTCTGTCCTGGTTGGTTGCCCTGTATTGTGCCTCATTCAAAAAACAGTCTGGACTAAAACACTCGTCAAAACTTTAATATGAATGGGCAGAGCTAAACTGCTAAGGGCTGAATAGGTGGATATATGTAAACGTGTTGGTTCTGGTGACATCACAGCAAGAAAAAAATTAAAATGGGCTGTTTTTACAGCATAGCGTCCATATATGAACCATACGAACTGTATGTTTTGAAACTTTAACAATGTTTACATATTACTTCAAACTCATTTATTTAAAAAAAGGCGAGCAAAAATTGTTTTTGCTGGAGCCTTTAAAATATAAACACATACACAGACATAGAGTAGGCAAATATCTTGTAAGGTACGTGTTTGCACACATGTTTATGTTTCTCAGTGTATACAGGCTATCTGCATGTTATGTATGAGACGAGTCTTTCACATATGATTAAGCAGTTGTATGCAGGACAGAGATGCAAACAGAGAAACTCTTATACAAAAAATATAGTTTAAAACGTATCCTGAGGTAAATCAGACTTTCAAGAACAAGAAAAACTCTTGTTGGTGTATAGAATAAACAAAATGTCACAAAAAAGCTGATGGTTAATCTAATGGTTTATAGTAAACAGCAGAATGCAAGCTTACTTTTTGGACTTTGTGTTGGCTCGAGGCCGGTACTCGTGAGACTCGTCCTCCAGGCCGTTTTGCCGCTTGTACCAGTCAAAGAGTGTCCGCAGGATGGAGGGCAGGCAGTATTCAGCCAAGGAACTCATAGTACTGATCAGCTGAGAAAGAGAGAGAAAGTGAAAGAGAGACAGAGATAAATAGAAGACACAGAGTGTCAGAGAATGACAATTGTTATTCTGCTCAAAGACCCTGTCCATTTGCTGTGTTGAGCATCAGGACTGATCAACCGACTTTACCCTGTTCTTCAGTGGTCAGGACCCCCATGGACCCTCACAGAGCAGGTACTATTTAGGAGTGTCTAACAGAGTGGACAGTGAGTGGACACAGTGTTTAGAAACTCCAGCAGCACTGCTGTGACTGATCCACAGTCTGTAATTGTAGAAGTGCACCTATATAGTAAGTGGAGCTGATAAAATGGACAATGAGCATAGAAACAAGGAGGTGGTCATAATGTTATGCCTGACCTGTGTATAATGTTCCTCTTAGGGTGTTTGACATCAAAACGTATGACATCACTTCATCCTGGGCTGTCATGCTTACAAGAGGGCTTTTAAATCATTTTTGCATTCTCATGTGAATGAAGAGACTGTTTGTGTGGACAGGATTTCTTTTAAAATGGGAAAAAATGCGTTTTCAGAAATGTCAGAATACATGTGAACGAGGTCAAAGAGTTCTTCATAATGAATTATTTAACTTCACCCCATTTGTAAACACGCACTGACTCAGATATTTCTGACAACAAGTCATAAGGAGTGGGAAAAGAGTGGGAAAGCAGTGGGCCTTTTCCAGCAGCCTATGATTGATGTAACTGTATGGAGGATGGGGATTTTGGCCTGGAATTCAGGCCAAAATGGTGAAGTAGAGCTCCAGAAGGAGGGGTGTGTATGTGCTAAACCAAACACAGGAAGGGAGGGGTGTCTGTATGCAGACGGCTCGGTATTCCCCCTCATGTCTGTGAACAGGGAAAACACTGTCCCGCCACACACGTATACACACACACACACTGATGCAAGCACACTGCTTAAGGACACTGTTCTGAGGGGTTAGGTAGGGACACGCAAGAATTCAAAGGCTGGCCAAGCAAACAGACCTCACCAGCTTAAGCTATTCTTAGCACTGACAGACTGAGAAGAAGAAAGCATGGATTTGGAAGTAGCAGACTAAATCATTTATTCTTTCTCATTTACCCCCCCTTCATAAAGATGAGAAGGATGTGGATATTTGGGATGACAGTGACAGTTATACTATGACTTATCACATCTTCAAAGCTTTGCTCCAGCTGTTTCTATTCCCAATCATTAGAGGACGTCTCCATTATGAATTTTGTCAATCTACATGCTCTTGTCATGTCATACTGGGGCTGCTGGGCGTTGTTGTGGAACAGTCACAGAAATGCCATTAATCTCTTCCAAGCCAAAAAGTGGCTATTTCTGCCATCTAATTAAACATGCTTTATCAAGGGTGTTTTTATTTTGTTTGTAACATGATCTACAATTTTGGGCATGCAAATATATAAGCAGGACTATATTACACACTTCGGTCACCTTTTTTGGGTACTCTGACGAAACAAATCAATAATGAGCCCTTAGCCATGTGAATTACATGCTGAACATGTCCACATGTTCAATCAGAAACTACTGCAGTGCATCCTATAATAAAGGCAGCATCTAGAAAGCTCCAATTCCACACACTGGTATTTTACTGTGGCCAACATGGATGTGTGACAAATACTCTGGGAGCAGATTTTGAAGTGACACTGCCAAAGTTTCTGAATTTGAAAGGTTTCTCTGCATTAAGGATGATCAAATAATGACTTGCTCATTTAAAAAACATTCATAGTATTCAGATTCACAAATCTAGATATACCTGATCAAACTGATGGTCCTCCCCCCTCTGTAGAGATTTAGTGAGTGGCTTTTCCTGTAGAAAGAAGTGAGAAATTTGATGAGACTCACAGACCCCGATATGTAAGCAGAATAAAGAGTTTAAACTTTAAAACATAAGTCATAAAGTAGTTTTAAATAGGACAGGGCATGATGGCTTCCAGGAGTACTCATGCCTGTTCTAAAAAGAGAACAAGAACAAACTCTACTCTGTTAGAGTGTGAAATGAATGAGGTTTGTTATATACTTGGTACAAAACACAGACCAGGCCCAAAGCTGAGCCTGTAGAGAATGGGGCTAAGTGGTAGAGCCAGGGTCAAAGTGAGTCATTAACCCTGTGTCACAGTCACACAACACTCTCACACACACACACACACACACACACACACACACACAGTCAATCCAAATACAGCTGTTCATGTCAAGCATTAAGCCTCAAGAGACCTGAAACTTCATGTAACATGCTTGACATACAAGAGAAAGACATGGTTCTACTGTCTTCTTTCGCAACTTCAGTTGCAATTTTATTGCTGCAAGTTGTGAAAGTACCCTGTCATCTTTGGTATAGTTTACCAAGGCCCAACCATTATTCTGTGTGTGGCAATTTTAATATTGTGAAGAATAAATAAAAGTTTCTGCTGTTTACATCAGTTTACGAAATCTGACAGTTGAAAAGTGACAATCAGTCAGTAAGGCACTGTCTAAAACTGCTGTAGTCATTTGTGAAAATCATATCGACAATATTATCGTCAGTTTTCTTAACTTCTAAAAAATCTGTATCAGGGCCTGAATTTTAGTGCGAGATGGCAGATACTGCGCATAATTTCATCAATTTCCAGAAATCTGACACTTACAATGCGGGAAATTCCCGCAGACATTTACAGCGATGTTTAATAATGTTCAGCCAACGTTTGCACCAGTGTGGAATGCGTGACGACTGGCCGAACGGACCGGCTTCCGCTCTGGACACAGGCGCACTCTCTCCCTCTATCTACGAGCCTACGAGCGCCTTCTGCTGATTCATCACCTCTCGCTAACATTTACAGGCAGGTTTCAATGACGTGGATTTGAAGGCCTGCAAACATGGACCGCTGGCTAAAACGTAAATCTACATATCTGAAGTGGAATCTGCCCAGAAAAAACACCGGAACCCGAAAGGGCGCAAACAGCAGTGCTAACAATGTCAGCGTTAACAATATTAACCCTCACGATCCTCAGTCAGGTAACAGTAACGTTAGCGAGGTGAAGCAGCAGCACAAAGACAAGTTTCTGACTAACTGGCTCAGAATATATCAGTGGCTCGAACTTAACGACGGTGAAACGAGCTGCTCGATTTGTAAAATGTACGGTGCTGCAGCCTTTTACCAGCCGATGTTACAAAACAACTATAAGGCTCAGATGACATTTCTCATACCGCAGCCTTGAAAAGAAAGCGTGAGGCAGATTCAGCAAGGAATGTGATGGCTAAAGCTATTGAAGCTGCGCAGTTGCAGTGTGAGGAGAAAACGAAGGGGCTTCTCAAAACCAACTGGCTACTTCAAAATTTGGTCATCTAGTTAAATTCATGAAAAAGATGGAGTGTCCTTCTTTAAAAAGCTTTCAATAAGAACGGGACAAGGTAAGACCTGTACTAAGCTCACAAGTAGTGTCCCCTCCCAAAGTGAAACATTAAAGGGGGAATTCCCCCCATTTTGAAAAATGAATTTCAGGCCTGTGTATCAGTGACACGTTTGATATCAGCCAGGCCTTAACATTTACTACATCATGATGAAACAACGTATGAAAAAAATGAACGTAGTATTAAGATGACTTACACAAAGAAACAAGCAGAATGAATACAGGCACCATATCACTGACCTAAACCATGTAAAACCACAGATAATGTCCTGTTCCTGTGCACTCTGCCATAGACTTGTACCTTAACTATGGAGAGGTAATCCATCATGGTACAAGCACAGCAGTAGTAGCACTGGAGCAACGTCTTAATGGCTGTGTTAATGGTTTCCAGGAACAACTATGAGCTGACTGTATGCTGAGCACAGATACAGTCCACTACCTGTCCAGCAAAATGGAATGCAGTGCTACTGAAAGCTTCAACAGCCTGAACAGTCATCCATAGGGCTGGTGGTTCATGTTGCGGGTCAGATCACCTTTCACTGTTCCCCTAGTTAATCTCTGCCTCCCCATACATGAGCTGTGTTCCAAAAGCATGTATTCATGTCTGTTTCAATCAGAAGGAATCCTTCAAAATACAGCCAAAACACTACCAGAGTATCCTTCACTTCACTTTATCTTCTGTTGACCGTAACCCTTTGCACACGTGTCTGACCCAGAGAATTTCAAGAGAAATGCCGCAGATGAAACTAACTACACACAGGCCAGTAAATGTACAGTATAATACATAGTACACTGTTTCTTTAGTTTGTGTCTGTTTAAGAGAAACTGATGTTATGCCTGCCAGTTTTACTATCATTCACATTAACATCACCTTCAACATATTTCACGCACCGACTCCTTACCAGTGATGTGACAAGAAGGTTTTGGAAGGCTGTTCTGTTTTGCATTACATAATAGAGGGTGATTCAAAAAGATTAATCCGATTTCAAAGTGCCATATATTTACAACCGTGAGGCGCCTAGGAACCAATCACAATCCAACTGAAAGAGGGGGTCATAGAGTTTCTGACTGTCAGTGGAAGATGGCTCCCCCTTCAGTCTGAGAGGAGATGAGACCCCTGAGCAGAAAGCGTTCTGCGTTCTCCACTTCAATAAGAGTGAATCCGTCATAACTGTGCAGTGTGATTTTCGTGAGCAGTGAAGCTCCAACAGCTCAGAGCGTTCGTCGTTGGTTCCACAACACTGGATGATCTCCGAAATCGCACTGAAAGAGCCGTGAGTGCAGCGACACCCGACATGCTCAATCCAGTATGGGATGAGTTTGACTATGGTGTTGATGTTGTCCGTACAGCTGGAGGAGGTTCAGACTGAGACCTTGTAAAATTACATAATAAACTTTATGCTCATTTAAACCATTTACAGTTCACTGCATTGATCTGTAATGATTTACAAGAGAAATAAATCTAATATAGAATGAATCTTTTTGAATTACCCTGTATAAACTAGAAGCCTTCACAGGACAGTGCTACAGAGCACTTACCTTTCCTGGCAGCAGCCATTTTCCATGTGTCACAGTATTTTGTCTCTTTTTCAATAAAATATGAGAACCGCTCTTACATCCACCTGCCTCATTCAACAGCACATCCATTCTGCTGCGGTGCATGTTCTTGTACATGCTAACTGGTTCTCAGGAATATGCAATTCCTCCTGGCTACGAGAACGTGTGTGCATGCCAAAAAGGAAATAATCATAAAAGAAACCTGATGCCAGACACACTTCTCCCTTATGATGCGTCAGGGCACGTGAGTGGAGTTAACTAAAGGATTCTGGGCCACTGTGCATGGTGCCAGAGCTGACAAGCCCTCCTATCTGTCTTGAGCAACGACGTGTATTACCTGTTCCTCCAGACTACACAATACGCAAACAAAAACAAAAAAAAACTCAAAACTTCTTTCACCCTTAGAAAACGAAAGTTATTACTGTTGCTCTGCCATACAGCGTACAGGTAATTACGCAGTTATATGAGTACACAGTTACATGATTACAGTTACATAAAGAATCACATTTACATTCAATTTGCTCTCTGTAGACAGGCTCAAGTCTGCACTGACACGACAACCGACAAACAACAAATCTTTACTGTCATCTAATGACAAACACATGGCAGAAACATAAAGCATTTTTTGCTTTCTACAAAACAAGACTGTACGCACGATCACGTTTTATTACAATATTTTCATTAAAATATTTTCTCTTCTACTTACAAAACACAAATGTGGAACGTTTACAAAAGAATTTCTCTGCTTGTTTCAGTTGGTTGCAAGTTAAAAACTATAAACAACCACAATGCTTTGCTATCATAGTGACTTCTAAGGGTTCTAGAAGTCAACATAGTTGACCTCAACATAAATCTTGATTGCTGATATTTTTTTTAAACACACAGCAACACTGAATCTGCATTAAAATAACTTGACACAAACAGCGAACAGACATACAGACGTACGGTACTGTGCAGAAGTCCAGCTAGCAAGTTTTTTTTCAAAACACTAACATTATAGTACATATAAATAAACAATACACTGTGATTTTATCTGTCAGTACGTTAGTTTAACCACTTCCAAACCTCAAGGAAGCCCAATATTTACATTTACCATTCAGTACCTAGTTTGGCTAATCAATATTTATTAAAATAAATCAGGTAATGCTGGTGGAATTCCATGCTAATTCAAGCAGTGCACCAAAAACCAAATTTGTGTACTTTTCACAGTATTGTACAGGGAGATTCACTCGAAAGAGGCCCAGAATATTCTGTAACAACTCTCACTAAAACTAAGCAATTTGAACGCAACGACATGCAATGTGCTCCTCAGCATGTGGAGCTTTGAACAAGCCAGGGTGCCTCTGCGTCGGAGCGATGAGGCCTCCATTTGCAACTTCCGGGTACATACCCCTGTACCCCCCGTAATGAGCAGCGCGTCTACTGGGTCAATTCATTTGAGCGATGTCAGAGTGAATTTAGGAAGATATATGGTGTTCGTGACGCACCCTCAAAGAGTGTTATTCAGAAGATGGAACGGAAACTGGACACGACGGGATCACTGATCTCTTCTCATGGTGGAGGCCGTCCGAAAACGTAGCAGGACACAACTGATGACGTGCAACATCGTCTGCAGCAATCGCCTACGAAACCTCTGAGACGCCTAGCACAGGAGACTGGGAGTCTTATTCAACATTTTTTTGCTTCAGATTGCTTCATCCTAACGGGAGTTACAACAGAATATTCAGGGCCTCTTTCGAGTGAATCTCTCTGTACATCTGCAACAACCAGCTTATCTCCAATGGGCTGGTCCTTCACATAGCTTTAATACAAGAAACAGACATGCAGACATGTTGTATCTAACTTATGCATAACTGTAAGATTTGCGCATAATAATGAAAGCAGTAATGTTGATTGTTGTAATTGATCATGTTCAGCGTGTCATTACCACACACAATAATATGATATGATAATCAGTCTGATAGTGTTTCAAATCGGCAACTGAACATTTCTTACCAGTGGCTCCGCCATGATGATGCGTATCTTGCGTTCAGACAGCGTGGTGAAGTTGGCAAAAAGGCTTTTGAGGACGTACTCGCCCGGTTTGCTTTCGGGGTCCACAGTGACCGGCATGATGGCGACCGGACCTTTCCTCTCGCCCTGACCAATGTTCACTGGGGGGAGAGGGGGCTTTCCTAAGGGGGACGCTGGAAACATAAAAATACACAAAAGACACACAAACTGAAGTGAGAAAGTACGAAGATATATTCAATAAGATTTATTTTTTGTGCATATATGACTAAAAAAAAAACACAATGCAAAAAGACATGAGAACTTTTTGTGCTATCAAAGTTGAGTTCTGAGCTTTAATGAGTTCATACAGTCCCTTGCAGACCAAATCAGTGTTGTTACAGAAAAGCATCAGTGATGTATATACAGTGATGGACGAAGTACACAAAAGCATGTAGTTTTGAGTTAAAGTAGAGACACCCAAGGTAAAATATTACTCCAGTAAAAGTAGAACTTCCTCCCTTTAGTCCTCCACTTGAGTAAAAGTACAAAGGTATTTGCCTTCAAATGTACTTAAGTATTGAAAGTAAAAGTACTAAAAGATTAATTATGGCTCTAATGCCCTATTATCATTTTTATAACAAGACTCACTTCATTAAGTCATTTTAGGTGAAAATACTCCAGTGTCCCTCTTGATACACCAGTCTTTTAATAGAATGTCATTAATTAGTGATGCTGATGTCTATTAAAATTATCATAAGCACAAAACACTGAAGGCAAAGAGTTTCCATTAGGCAGAACCGAGTGGCTCTGAAATAACTTTCTGCGAACAAGCCAAGTTTCGGTTTAAGATTTATTTGCAACATAGTTTAAATAGAAATTTAATAAAAACTTGCTTTAAACTCAGGTTCACAAATGAGTTTTCCTTTACTAAACTGCATCTGTAGGTCTCTGTTCATAAACATAAACTAGCCAAAACTAATTTACTATAAAATGAAATAGTGTTTGTATAAATTCAGAAAAAAGGCACGACAGTCACAACTGCATATGTGTACATATTTCTATACTGTGGTCTATTTACACAAAGTTAGATTAGAGTCAGGAGTTTCTTCCATCATTTATGTTGAACAGACTCTCCCAAAATTTTACATTGCTGCACTGATGTTGAACCGTGTGCTGCACTGGGTCGGTATGACCAACAGGTCAAAACAAGCTCAAAACAAAGTGCCGCTGTGCCCTGATTGGTGTTCTTTCTTTGCGCTTCTTTCGTTTTGACGTTTTTATACACACATAAACCAAAAGGAACAACATATTTCATAATGTAGTGGAGTAAAAAGTGAGATATTTGACTTTGAAATGTAGTGGAGTGGAAGTAAAAAGTCACTCAAAATGGAAAAACTTCAGTAAAGTACAGATACCAGAAAAAACTAAAGTACAGTAACGAATTACATTCACTTAGTTACTGTCCACCACAGTGTATATGTGATTGAAACCATCCTTTGTCGATTACTTTAAACAAGATTCATTCCTACTAGGTCACAAAATAAATGCAAGTGATCTATTCTCGAATGCGAGCAGTTTATAGGGCCTCATAAGCACAGAGAACAGCTGGTGTTTTCATTTTAGGGATGACCGTGTCACCACTCGGGTACTGGGCAGAGGGGTGGGTGAGGGAAAGGGTGAGGTGGCTGGAAGGTTGCAGTCGAGGGAGCCCCACTCATGTGGCTGCAGAGACTCCTGTCATGTGAGACTCTTAGAATAGATCTCGGCCACCTCACACGTCATAAGACGCAGATCAAATCCAAGCATTCTCCAAATGGAAAAACAGACTCAAGCAACCATGATGTACTTGACTGTAGTAATTTGTGTGGTGCTGTAGTAGACTGTAGGTCAAGTATCCCAATATTAAATTTTTGCCATCTATCTCACTGTTAGGACTTGTAGATGAGTGTGATAAATGCCATCATTTGGGACAGTATTTACACTGGTTTAAGAATATAGGGCACTGGTTATGATGATAGAGTTTCTATGAAAATGAAACACATTGCAGCCAAAGGAGGACAGTCCTAAGAGACTACTGAAATATGTATATGGACACTGATATACATTCATTAAAAACCTCTTATTCTCCAGGGTGTATTTTGGTTTGTCCATCTGAATTTACATGACCAAATCGTAAGGCAAATTATGCAGTAACTGCATGAAATAAATGCAAATTTTTATTTTATTTATTTATTTATTTATTTGGTAAAAGTTCCCCACAGAACATGTATTTTATGATCACACATATTGCTATATGCTTACAATTTACTGCTGAAAGCCAAAAATCTTAGACGCTCTATGTATTTTTTTATAAAAATAATTTTTACAGAGCAGATCACTGAAGAGACGCCATCTGTTTATAGTTTGTAGCTCAGATTTGTGGAAAAATGGGTCGACTTTCAGTAGAAAAAAAAACTGAGTTCAGCTTCTTTTATTATAAGGGTTTAAAATTACATCACCCATCTATTTGACTTTAAAGAAGACAGTTACAGCTCTCATACGACCCCCACCTTTAGAATGTAGCTTATGAAATATGAAAGTTATGAAGAATACGACGAAGTGCGTTTTGGAACCACCGGTGGTCTCAAGGAGTTGAAAAGGTTAAGTCATCAGTGAAAATATGCAATACATTCAAAGCAAGTGACTTGAAAGGGGATCCCATTACACTCATTTTCAATGTTCATCATGTTATATTTGGGGTCCACTAGAACAGATTTACATGCTTCAATGCTCCACATCAGTATTCTAACACTGTACATCTCTATTTCTCATCTGTCTGAAATGCTCTGTTAGAGCTCTTGAGTCTTTAAGCTCCGCCCCTAATGAGTCCAGTGTGTTAATCAGCTCGCCCACTCTGTTCTAACCGGTTAACCGCCTGTTTCAATCCTGAAAGTCAGGTAAAACAAGCTGGTAGACCCGATCCACCTTCGCAAGGTAGACTGGAGCAGGACGTTTCAGAGTGGAAAAGTTTTTACTTTGTCGCTCTTGTGTGTGAGGGAGTCAGAAACATCCTGGTAGGCGGGCAATAAGGACTGTGTTACGAGATTACATCATCTAGTAACAAAGAAAAGGGATGGAATTTCAATGAGGTTTCAGGCAGCTGAGAGAAAGTGGTTTCTGTGGGATGTGTACTTTCGGCTTTGTGATTCTGCAGACTGTTTACACCAACAAAAAGCTAAACAACACATTAAAGCATGGATCTTTAATTAAGGTCCAGTTAGAGAAAATTTCCCCAAGCGAAGGCCCGGAACATCACAATGTCTAACTTGCATCATGATTCAGTGCCATATACTGTACTGTGAGTCTCCCGGGCCGCTAAAGCTACTGTAAAGGCTAGAAAAGTAACAGCGATTAAAATAGGAGCACCCCATCAAAATTAAATAATTCTCCATAGTTTAACGGTTATAGGTCAGCATCTGGGTCTGGGCTCGGGCCACGGTCCGCTTAATAGTGACCTCAGTATTAAGAGAAAGGGAAAAAACGGAAAAACATAATAGGTTCCCCTTCAATACTGCTGTAACTCATTTCATTCATTTAAAGAATTCCTGATCAAGAGTCAAGAGAATTTTTACTTACATAATCTGACTTACTTAGAAAGCATGTATAATTTGAGCAAATATTAGCTAATTAATGAATATTTTTCTGTAAACCCCGCAAAATGAGCAAAGTTAACCATTAGACGTCCTGTCTAATGTAGCTGTTCCTTTCCTCTTGTGTTTAAGGTTCATCTTTACACAGTGCTCCGCAATAGCAGGAACAGCAGCTTTGGGGCTTCAAGCTGGTTTCAACTCAAGCGCTGCTAATGGGGTTGAACGACCATGACTACTGGACCTCAAACTGCTCAGGTCATTGTTGTGGCAGCATACCAGCACAAGGTCTTCAACTGGAATGACGATCACCTCAACATGCTAACAAGAGACAGGACCGGTCTTAAATAGTTCAGGATAAAAAGTGTCACTGTGATGTAAAACATGCTCATTTATAAAACAAAAACACAGCACTGTGCAAAAGTTTTAGGCACCTAAAATCCATTTATCTGGGCAGCAAGAGTGTCTATGCTTGAGAAAAACACAACTAATCGAAACACACATTAATGCAATAAAAAGTGACCAGAATTTTTTGTTTTCAAAAAGTAGTTGAGACGTTGCGACCTAGTAAGTAAAAAAGGTTTGGTTCCTAACTTCTCGATGGGGCCAGCCAATGCATTGATTTATTCAAAGTTCTATCACCAGCACACCTGATTTAATGTAACGAAGTACTGATTAGTCAAACTGGAGGATAACTACAAATACTGGGCCACGAGGAGAGCTTTGGAAATGGCTCAGCGGACACAGCGACATTCAAAAATTCATTTTTATGTATAGATTAAAAAGCCAACATGATCAATCAATCAGAAGATATGGCAACAACTGGAAATAGCAGAAACCAGCCATTTTTTAAACTTTAACCCAGGTTTTCAGTCCTTGGCTACGACATGTTTAGCATCTGAAATTCCTTTTAGTTTTGCACAAGAGCTACGAGGCTAATATAGAAATGTAACAATATTAAAATAATATAAAAATAAAGAAATATTGAAAAAAAAAGTTATTTTTTAAAATAATAATACAAAAAATATAATATATAAAGTAATAAATAAATATGTCCTGCAACGGACTGGCGACCTGTCCAGGGTGTATCCTGCCTTCCGCCCAATGACAGCTGGGATAGGCTCCAGCAACCCACCGCGACCCAGAAGGATAAGCGGTTTAGATGATGTATGTATGTAATAAATAAATATATCGCACTAGAGCTACGAGGCTAATATAGAAATATAAAAATATTAAAATAATAGAAGAATAAAGAAATACAGAAAAAAAGTTTTTTAAAGTAATAATATAATACAGAATATAATATATATAAAGTAATAAATAAATACATTGCACTAGAGCTACGAGGCTTATATAGGAATATAAAAATATTAAAATAATAAAAAAATACAGAAATACAGAAAAAAAGAAAGTTTAATAAGTTTAATACGTTTAATAATAATATAATAAAAATATAATATATATAAAATAATAAATAAATATATATATATTTTTAATAATCATAATAAAAAGGGCAGGTTTGGGCTTTAACTCTAATTTTTTTTTGTTTTTCACATGCTTGACTGAGC